AGGTTCCGACACGGTATCGGGAAAAGTATCCGCGAGTTCGCTGCACGTGCAATGTCGAGCCGGAGCAGTAACAGAAGTTTCTAAAAAAGTCCTCTCCTGAGAGTCGTACCCGCGAGACTTTTCCTCAAGCTTTTTGACGGGTGCACGTGAGTGAACGTCTCGACGATCGTGACGTTTCTCCTTGCTGAACCATCTCGTTGGTGCCCACATTTTGGGCGAACCTGCTTCACTTTCCCGAAATCGTCAATCATGAGCCCCCGATTCGTATGCCTAAAACTCCCACTACCTCCAGCCCGGCATTCTGCATACTTGAACATATTCATGTATCTATGGCACTTTTCTCAAAATACGCCGCGAAAATTATGGAGATAGTCACGGGTCGGACACAGGCGACCTGTCTGAGCTGGCGTCACTCTGCTTAAAATTCCGCGGCTGGTAGATAGTAGATATCCATCGGAATACAGTTAAGTCGTGGGATCGTCCGATCGAATTGTTATCAGGACCGGTAGAATTCACGGATCACTTGCAGGGCAGTACGTCGACGCTCGAGACTTGACTATATCCTCGAGAAATGGCGATCTCTCGACCGTACCCTGGAGTCGCGCGGAGCGATTCCTTTCACCTCCAAGACGCTTATTACTCCCGAGCATGTTCTGACAAGTCCTAATAAAATCGCCCCGAGATCGAGCGATCATTTTTCCATTCGGAAGTCACTTATTTTGTCTGCGCGCGCGTCATCGGCTCACGAGGAAAACTCAGATACTTAGGCTCAACTCACCTGAGCTGCATTCTGAAGAGTGGTACGCGGTCGAGTTCAGCGGTCGCGTTGAGCTGCAAACCCGGCGCTGCGCTATGGATGCCCTTTGAAGTGCTTGAGATTGCCGAACGCCTTTACTGAAGCTTTCTCTCAGCTGCTTTCCGGCCAGTCGCCAGCGAAGTCTGACGCCGGGGGCTCGAGAACGCGTCTACTTTTATAAACACGGCAAAAAAGTGGCGCCACAAGTTGCCATCGTTGCCTGAATGGAAAGGGACTGTGGCAAGCCACGCCCTCGGAGCCCCTCAACGTTGAGGAGGGCGCGCTTATCGGAGCCACTTAGGGAGAAGGAGGTCCTCTGATAAGTGACGTCAGCTCGACTCTGTACGCCTTGGGTTTCCAGAATCCATGTGGATTTTACGCGCCAAACGAGCGAGCTCGCAATTCCTCTAACTTCTCGTGGACACTAAACACAAGAAGTATGACAACGTCATCTCAAGACCCGCCCTCGTTTCGTCATCATAGTTCTGCTCTCTCGGATGTGCATTTCTCGAATGCACACGGACTGATCCGATTTTGAGCTAGTGAGCACAACTCTCGACCACCATCCAATAATTCTTCTCGTAATTGTAATCCGATGACTTCAGGTTGAGGTTTAGAATGTCAATCACACGCATGCGCTGGGGTTTCTGCTCGTGTTTCAGTTCACCAACGTTCAGTCCATGTTGTTTGTACGGGTTGTTTCGAGGACAGCCTCCCGACGACCGGAAAACTAATCGAGGTCAAGCTCCGTCTCAGGTTCTGCTGTCGGGACTCGGGACTCGGAGTTTCCCCACGATTCGGATCGAGAATCGAGATTCAGAGATGGAATACCGAGAGATGGACGAGTGGCCGCTTCGGTCCGAATGCGTCCAGAGTCAGGGAGGTATCCCTACGCTGCTGGGAAGCTTTTCGGAGTGTCGAGGCTCAGAAACAAATCAACACCGCTCCTGTGTGGTGTCACCATTCATCTCTCCAGGCGAGCTCCTCGGTTCCGATCGTCCCGGCGATTATTCCGCTCTCGAATTCGGGTGTCATCACGCGGACTCGAGCCTGTCGCGGAGACCGCATCTTGTCGCGCGTGATTCGGCATCCGTGTCGGAAGAGTGTCAGATTTGAGTTGATCTCCCATCGGCTGTGGGCGACACGTACGACGGGGATCTCGAGTTGCACGAATCAATACTGCGACGGGACCGCCGGGCCGGCTCTGGTCGCGTATGAAATGTGTATGAGAAGAAAAGCCTCGAAACTACAGTTCTGAGGCAGACCGAGATGCCGTCGCCATGCAAGCAGCGAGACTGTCACCGTATTCTCTTGAATGCGGTCACGCGAATCTCCCACGTGGCTCATCCCTGAGAAAATCACTTTCCAAAGCTGATCCTTGCATAGCCGCATTGACATTGACTCGAGGCTTTCTATCGCGAGCTCCGTAGTTTGAGTCCGGCTTCGAGCTCCCCCATGAAAGATTCCCATCGTTCGTTTCAATCCCCGACCGGAGTACCTCCGTAAGACCGTGGTCTTCCCCTCCCTGACAAGCACTCCGGATCGCCGCGTCGGCGTCGTCACGGTGATTTGGGACTCCTCCTCCTTGCCAAGTTGAGGCAATTGGATAGGTGCTTCCTTTCCGACGCGAGCGTTTCATTTGGATCGGAGACAGGCAGCATCATGACTTTTGAGCTAATTTCGGAAGCTGATGGTCTAAGTAGTTTCTGTTCGACGCAGTTAGCTTAGATCTCAGCGGTGAACCATTTCCCAGCCTCGCTTTGTGAAATTCGAATCGAATAATGATTAAGGATCCCGGATCAGCGGTCCGCCGATAAACGGGGGCGGATCCAGGAATCTTGCGACGGGTTGGGGGCGATGCATCGAGGGAGGGGCGGATTGATACCTGGGTCCAGCTTGAATATGGGGAGTATCGGAAGTCAGAAGGCTCAAGGGGAGGAGCGATCGCCCGACCCGACCTCCTCTCTGCCCCGGATCCGTCGCTGCCACTCCAAGTTATCGAAGGAACACCGGAACGGATCAACAAAAATCGATTGAAAACAGTCTTCATCGGGTATCGGGTTATTGAATCCGGTGTGAACATTCCGAGTACAACTTGGCTTGACGCTCCGGGGGGCGACAGGGACACCGGATTCATCGTGATCAGAGACTTTCGATCCGTGTTTGTGTGGCCAGACTGGATGCTAGATGCTTGCCTATTCCTGGCGAGTAACGAGCGCGCAATGGTATCTCTAAATTAGATTCTGAATGTTCCTTGAGAAGACCAACATGCATTAATTGGATCGAACGAGCTGTTATTGAGCTCATGACAGCAAACTAAACGGAATTATGTTGTCCCCGCTCAGCTCAGGATTCAGTCGCCCGGGGTGTTCACGTGATCCTCATGTCGATCGACTCTAGTCAAGGAAATTTTCGGCCAGTGACTAGCTCGTGGGCTCGAGGAGCGCCGGCCGGTGCGTTCTGTAAGAGGGAGACAGGCATTTGTGCCGCAACCGAAGGAAATCGGACGCCCAATGATACACGAGATCAGGGGATATCCCTCGCATTTCGGGGGCCAAGGAGGTCTGGCTCGATAATTCCTTGATCATCTATCACATGGGGGTGAAAAAAATGAATCTGGCTGTATTCCCGAACGTCTCGAGAATCCAATTCAAGGAATGACTCTCCGACTCCCACACCCTTTAGAATTTCTAAAATGTCGCAAGATGTCTCTGACCGGTCTAAATCCGGAACAGGAGACGTTCTGAGCCGAAGGGATGTCTAGCTATATTTGCCCTTGATTCCTGTGACCTTCCCAAATCGACCCGCTGCGGAGACCATCTGAGAATGAGTGCTTGCCATGGATTTGGACACGGCGGATGCAGCATATGCCTGAGGCTCGCTGAGGTCGTACGACGCGTTCCACGAATGTGGGGAATCCCTCATATCCATATAGGAATGTCCTTCTGAATTTGAGCGAGACTTTCCAATAGACTCCCATGCTCTCGGAGCGTTATTGCTGCGACTCCACGAGCATCTCGAAATCCTTGACAATTCACCCACGTGGAATATCGTACATGTTATGATTCTTTGGAATCCGATTCCGAGAGCCTATACCGTCCAATGTCTCCCCTTGCGGGCTTTCTAACTAGCTAAAGAAGGGACGATCGGACTCGAGCCAGACTCATAACCACCTGTGGAGTGAGCGAGGTTTTAGTGGTCGGTGAGAGGGAAGCCCGCCGTCGCGGTGGGATGGTTCCGAATAGCTGCGAGAATCGGCCGATGATGATGTCCATTGGAAGGAAGAAGTTCGGATTCTGTTTACGACGAGTGAACTTGCCGCGTTGCTGCCAACCGAGTGAACCCGAGCAATCAGAAGTGGCAAAGGTGAGCTCCGTGTGCTCAAAGTCGGATGATAGTCTTATTTACTCAATTAGGATCTTTCATCTTACGCGAGATCTGTGTTTTCGTCTGCACCCATTGCATCGCGTCTTGCGGCGTTGTTTATTAATCAATTATTCCAGCTGTCGCTCAAGGAAACGGCAATTTGCGATTCGGAGTGAGGATCAGAATCACAGAAGGATGCGGAAGCAATCGCTAGGATCGAAGAGTATCCCGGAGAACGAGGGCGGCGAGCAGTCGAATCACGTCGTATGATCCGCGTGTAGTCAGTGAAAGTGGATGACCGACGATTTGAGGCGCGAAATGCCGGGGATGCGCGACATTTTCGCTCTATAATAATTAGAGGACACCCCCACCGCGAGAAACGTTGCCTTCTTCTCGTCGTATTGAGGTTATATCTGCAGGAGCGGCCCTTTGAAAGGCCACAGGTGCCCGAGCATGACATTGGACAGCAGCAGCGAAGTTCGTCTTCAGGAACAATTAGCCTCTCCGAGGATGTACGATAACCGCGACGTCGGGAGCCTAGGGCGACTTGATAGTCTGGAAGACCCCGCTTCCGAAGCGAGAGGAAATGGTTCTCCAACGGGTTTGGGAGGAACTTCCTCTTTCCGACGCGACAAGTGCTCTTATTGAAAGCGCTAAATACTAGGTAGCTTCGATGGATTTCGGAATTGGTATAGCTAAAGGAAATCACAGGAAGCCGTGACGACTACAGTGAAAATGAAAGCCAATGTTGCACGGAAAACGTGTCTAAAGAATCTGTGTTCGATATTTTGAGGGGGCGGACCAAGTGGAGGCATCAGACAAGACTCGGAAAAATAACAGAAGCGTATCGTTTATTCGATCACGAAGGTCAATGGCAAGAGGTTAGACTTTGGAAAGAACGTTATGCTGGGGCTACAAGACCTGTTCCCCTTGAGATTTCGTTTCACCGCTGGAGACTCGGAATTTGTTGATATCTTACGAGGGGTCTCCGATGGAGCTACCTTTCAATCGTGCGGGAGTCGGGACGATGTGGATCAAGTCGCTTTCGATTGTTTCACGTCGACCAGCGATTCGAAGTGAGCTAGGGTTTGCTTTATTTCCTTAACTTCTTGAGCTGTTCGGCACACGGGTTTCATGGCATTGCTGAGTTCTTCATACTTGGCCAACAATCGATACATACTCTGGAAAGGAGACGACATCGTCTTAGGGCTGGATCAATCCAAATGCCTCTCCCCCGAGGCCTGGGTCCTAGGACGGACCTAGACCAGCGACATTCTGTTCGATTCCGCTCGATGATGGTCTGGGACCATATGGAGTATAGAGCGAGACAGACACGTGATATCCAGGGTGATAGGGACTTCCTCTCATCGTGTATAAACAAGAAAGAGTCCAATTCGGGGTCCCGTGCCGGTGGAGCGACTGAGACATGAAAATGACATGAAATGGGCAGAAAATCTTCCTGACCTAAGACGTGGTTGCCAGCTCCCGCCCCTCAGGTAAATTTTGAACTCCATTCTCGACGTCGGACAGTCAGCGGTCTCTCGGGACTTCCTAATGTCGTCCCCGAAGGAGCTGTTCCTCATGCAGAAGTCAAGGAGCTCGCCACCATTTCTTGGCTGTGACCCGATCAGCGCTCGTTGTCTTCCCGGACGATAAGCATGAGAGCACCCTCTGAGCCCCGCTGCCATCTTATTTGTTCAGAAAAATACGAGGCGATTCTAGAGAATAGACCCCTGCTTCCATGACGAGTCAGCAGAGTTGAGCCCCAGCTACGTGGAACGCATGAAGCATCCTATGGTATCATAATCAGCTGTATTATCGGAGGCGGCTCACTCCATATTTAGTCAACTTACCTTAACATTCGCATCGGCAGCATCACAGGCTCTAATCACTCCGGTTTCATAAGCGGCCATGAAGTCAGCAGTGAGCCTTGTCACCTGTGAACCGAGGGAAGGCAATTCCAATACCTCGAGAATTACTCACAGGGATTATTATCATCGCGTCGAATCGCTACACCGAGGTCTAGTATCACCCGAATATTTCTGACAGCTGGGACATTCCCAATAGCCGTTCCCGGAATCGGGGAGAACTGTGGAGACCACACAGACCGTGTTCGTCCGCATTTCATCTCATAGGCAGATCAGGGATATCCAACTCACATTGCGCAACTGACTTGAAAGGGTTTCCATCATATGCTGAACGGAATTGGCCAGTTTCCGGGCGTCACTTTCGAGATCAGCGAGGATTGAAGGCAAGCGAGAAATGTCTGCGATCGAGGGAAAAGAGCATCGTTGTGAAACACACGACTTCGCACCGTAGGCTTTGTTCGAGTCTTACTGTCGAAAAAATCGATACCTGGAGCTGGGGTCGCTGCGAGCGATGTTGCTCGACTCGCTTGACGAATTTTCTCATCGATATCGTCGACGACATAGACCTGCTGCTCTAATGGCCCTCCGGATACTTCTCTGGCGACCTCGGCGTCTGGCGGTCGTCCGAACGCTGCTTCGAACGTAGGCAGCACCTGCATTGTTTCGACTGGTAGCGATGTTGGTATCTGGCGGGCTCTCCGCTCCGGTTCGGCCACCAGAGACTCTTCCCTGGGGGAATAGACAAGTGGGTCGAGACAGGCGCTAGAGAACATATATCTGACTTAACTCTTGCCCGGTTTGCTCTCATGCGACCTGCCATACTTCTCGCGCGACGATTTCACAGAAAGACAGCACCACGGTTTGCGAGCATTCGATATTTTTCCATTGGGTTCTGTCAATTATTTTCCGCGTTCGGCACTTTTTTGGATCCTTCGCTCTGGTATATGAGGGGATCGGCGCGCTTTGAGTCTCTGAAGAGGCCGACTCACCCTTGGTTGATTTTTTCGACCAATTTGGTGATTTCGTCCGTAGTATCCTGCACGGAGTTGAGATCCTGAATTTCTCCCGGTAGTAAATCATCGTCGAGGTCCTCCTCGGCACTTAGGCAGATTTCACTATACGAACCTGGAATTGAGAACGATCACCGACATAGAAACAAGATCGAATTCCTCGAGCTTGCGGCGAAACAGTATCATCTCCGGTTCCCTCTTGAAATCCGCACGGTGATAAGTGATAACGGAATTATTCGCGGGGATGTCTGGCTTGCTTGTTTCGAGGGCGCTTGACTCATCCTTCATGTGTAAAGCCAACTTGTTGTTGATTCTCGATATCTTCGTCATCGAGCATCAGTGGGGAAACACTGATTCCTCGTTTTCACAAAGCCAGGACGTCGGTAATATCCCCATGGGGTTCGAATTCGGGACGGGTATCGTTGAGGTTGACACGCTTATTGACTTCCATATAACAATTTCAGGCATGGGGAGAGAGCGTCGGACCGCTTGCCGGTCGCTCCTGCGGCAAGGGGCCGCGAAGGAACCGCGCGACCTTCGCTCGCCTTGCAATTTGGAACAGGGATTGAACTCTTCGATGGATTCGCTCAACCAATGACGATTCTCTGGCCAGTCGAGAAAAAGGGTCTGAATTCGAATTCTGAGAGAATACGCTAGGCTAGAGGGTCACAGCCATCAAGTACGCCGCAAGAGTTTAGAAACCTATTATATTAAGGTTCAGCTCAGCCCACGGGGTGAAGTCGGACGTGTTTCGGTTTCTTCTGTAAGCTCTCCGGGAAGTCGCAGACTCACTCGAAACGCGACCTGCATTCCAGGGAATGAGGAGCGAAAACCTGTCCTAGATCTGTCAAGTTCCTCCCTCGGACCAGGCGTTCCACCAGGCCTTGTTTCGTGGAGAGAGGGAGCCAAGTATTCCCCTGAACACATCTGGCCTCGCACAGGTACGTTTTGGCGTTCACGCTCTCACCCATTCCGAAGCCAATGGGTGAGAAAAAAATGGGCCAATTCAGTCCTCAGGACTCCATTTTGTTTGGAGAACCCGAAAATTCTCAATCTGTGTCTGACTTTGTCATCCTCGATCGGCGGGGATTCTGTGGGGGGATCGATCTTTGGCAGTACGCCGGGGCGGAACGTGCTCCCGCGGGTAAGGCGCTTGATTCCAGCCAATCGAATGAGAGGGATTCGTAGGAATCCTACATCATTTCGACTGACTTCGTATAAATTATCGATTTTTGTCAACGGGAGGCGAAGAGCAATTTTTTATCGAACGCTTTGTCATCACATGCTCCGAATTTCCTCTCCAGTCGCAGAGCGTAACGGCGATATATTCGTAATCTACGTAAGCGAAACTCCCCGGTCGGAACACGCCGCGCCGCAGATACAAGTCTCGCGACGGATGCTTTAGCTCTAATTCGTGCGTTGACATTCATATAAGTCTCTTCTTCAGGCGTAATCGATCTGTAGCCCTCGGTTCAGAAAGGACGATCGATGCGCCTCGATGGACGGTGTTCGCCTCTGACCGCTAAGATCAGTACCGCTATTATCCATCAGAGACTCGGGACGGGAGCGCGGGAGCTAATGTCAGAGGTTCTCTACGGAAGGAAACCCGATACCCGTGACTCATCGGCCTAGATAAACCAGTTTCTTTTCATGAATGTGGATCACTGTACGAGCAGGAAGCGTCAGACTCAACAGACAGGAATGTGGTCGTCAACCGCAGTCACCCGAAAAAACACGAGCCAGACGTTCAGATTCCCATATCGGAGCGATGAGGGCCCAATTCTCTAGACAGATAGCGAGCACTCCAGGGGAATCGTCCCCTATACTTGGGTCCGCGTCCTCCACAGATTCTGCTTCGCCGATCCATCGAGTATCGCGACGAAAACTGTTGCGCTTCATCTGGGCAAGTGATACAGCCGTGATTCAAGAGAGGAAGCGGTCGGGGAAGCTCAACGTGTTTTTTTGTTCGATGCGCAGAGTAGAGCAGATGTTGTGCGTGCGGCGATCGATTCCTCAAAACACCGAGCACACAGGTAGTTTGTCAGAATTCTCCTGAACTTAGCTCTACGTCCATCTCAAAGGTAGATCCGTCTTTTGTACGACCGATCGGAAGTTCCCCCGTTCCCGTGGGTAAGAGCTCGAAAAGCGAGTTTCCATGGATGGACCTTCGATGGAATCTCGAAGAAATGTCTCGCTCGAAAACTTTGGAGGGCACTCATCTCAGATGAGTCGCCGTTTTCAAGAAATCTTCGAATTACTTGGATTAGGCGTCGTTATCCTGCAGAGGCATTGAACTCCGAGTTCGGATTCGAAGCGTTCCGATGTTGATTGCGATTGTCTACGAATCATTGTTCGGGAGCGCAGAATCATTCGGAAAAAAGAGGAATGCCCTAGAGAGCTGACTGAGCTGAGAGCGAATCCGATTTCGCACGAGATCAATCGGCGAAAGTCGCCGTTATCGTCCTGGTAGAAAAAGGCAAGGACATTGTCTTCAAAAATTCATATTCGCCGGAGCCCCGAATCCCATGTGCTTTCGATATCCGAGAAAGGTCCATAAAAGAGCTGGCTCTTGGACACGTGATTGCTGGCATGAGCTGGAGAGGTTCGCGTCTGTGCGCATTCTCCGATTCCTTATGACTCGCGAGACGACCCGCGAACCTCCGAAACGAAATGCGGCGGGCAAGCACCGAATCGTAGAGTCAGAAATATCCAAACGAGCTCCTCGTCACGAAGGATAGATTCTTTGTCCCTGATGGGGATTTCCGCCTTCCATGAGGGAATTTGTCGGCTCAGGGATCCATTTATGATATTGAATACGGGGCAGGATGGCCATTGTATCGACTTTGAAGGCCTCTCTAGAGCATCGCGAATCCTCAGAAACTCTCTTGAATTACTGTCAATCGATCGATTCCCGCTAATGATCGGTCCATTCACAGACTCAACAAGCTGTGAGGAGTAAGTTTCAGAGGTCGAATGGATCACACTTTGACCCATCAAACAGAGCGTTCCGTCGAAGTGGTTCGATCGAGGGTTTTCGATTGTTCCATGTCATCGGACGTCGAACAGTCAACACTCCGCCCTCTCACTCTCCGTGTTTGTTCTAGCTATCAGAAGAGCAATTCAATCAAGTGTGACATTCATCGACGCAATAAAAATCCGTAAACGTCGCCGTCAGTATTGACGACGAACTCGATTCGACAGTGGACAATCGTCGGCTGCTCTCATTACCTAGCGGCGACGATGCGATGGAAGAAAGGTGGGTGTGCACCTCGTCGAAACGAATCTCAGAGCCGGTGCCATCGAAAGTGACAGGGCAACCTCCGGATGACTTGAATGAGTTTCAAATCGTAATGATGCGCTCCGGAAAACTCTCCTCCTTCCTCATGGAAGTCGCTGATTGGCGCACTCGCGAATTGAATCTACGTTTAAACGAACCATTCTGATCTGTCTATCAGACTAATTAGTAGCGGAGCATTATTCACTGCTGCGAATCAAATTGAGAGGGGGCGCTACCCTTGGACGTGACTCGCGAGGGGGTTGGCATTTCTCCCAATAGCATCCACTTCTTCTATGGGCTCTACGGACACACGCGGGGAGCATATCCCACTCAACGGGTGGTTCGATCCTTCGATCGTCTAAGGATCGTCGAGATAACGTGCGATTTTGGAAGGAAAATCAAATGAGGTGAGATCAAAGAAGAGGTTCCCGTCGCACTCCTGCCAATATCGAGGGGGAGGCAAGTACTCTAGAAGCTTGCCGCCGGAACATGCATCGCCCCCTCCTGGAACCACCACTTTGGGACTCCCGGTCGCGGACTCGAGATTTTCCACGCGGGGCATTCGATGCATTTCCAGGAAAAGAGAGATAGGAGGGGCGGCTCCGCGTCATCGCGCCCCTTCGACCTGGTAGAGCACAGGAGATGGAACCTATGACTGATCGCTTGACTAGGCCAAACGACAGATCTACGTCCGCATGTTCTCTTGAAGACTAACTTGTTACAGCTGCGGCGCGAACGGAACTTTCCGAGCTCCCCTCGGAATGATCCTCTATATCCGGTAGATCTGGCAGCTCATCCGGACTGAGCGGAGTCGACGCTACACTACGTCTACTCATCGCGTCGGACTAGTTCGAACACTGTACACTAAACTTCAAGAATTCCAACATGAAGGTTAGACATCTCTCCTTGCGATCTAGGACCACATCTCCGCTTTTCGCGAAGCTGTCAGTACGCGACGAAAATAGAACGACATCTACAGATGGGCGGCTCCATTTTGGCTTGGCCGGTACGGCGATCACGCGGAGGTCTTTAGCACCGAGGAAAGAGAGAAGAATGCGCTCCTGCCTTCTACAAGGGAACATTATGGATTGCAACCACTTGTTGATTCTGGCGGGATCGGAATCGATGGTCTCCGGGAGTCGTTCCCAGGATCAAATATCACTGACCGAAGTTTTCGATTCCGAGTTCGACCAGACCTCGCGACTGTCGAAGATCGTGAGGCGTGCGCGCGTGCCAAGCTTCCCCTCAAAAGCGCTCCCTCTCCCCGGGAGCTTCGACTACCACAGCAGTATTTACGACGATGACGACCGACGTAAGGACTCCGCAGAGATCAGCTGTGTGCGTACAGTCATATGTCTACTTGATGGATGATCGGACAGATGGGCACACCGCGCGAGTATCATTTGTTCGCCGTTGAACCCCGGGACGTATTCTAGAGATACCTTCTGGAGAAAAGGGAGGAAAACTTGTCCTGAAAATTGTCTGTGAACGTGTGCGTGCGTGTGGATGATTCACGACGGGGCTCCGTCGCAGCTCCACGCTGCGAAGATGTTCTACATCGAGCTGACTGCGGAACAGAGGGATTCGGCTCCGGAAAAACGTAAGTTCCATACAGAACCCTCTTCGTCTCCGGACGAATACTTTCTGTTTCGGTGAAATTGGCTGTTTGAGTATTTCCGCGACTGACCGAGGAGCTCTTACGTCAGTGCGAGTGCTTTCACGCTCACGTGAAGAAAGTGATGCCATTATGATGCGAAATCCTTTAGAGATATATCGGGAAGTTTCAACGGCACAGCGTCGATGATATTGATCGACATTGTCGCGCTCTGCCCTCGGCCGGTACTCGACGACGGCAGATACCTGCTCCATTCGATTGTATAAATATTGGACGACCCTTGGAACAGACCTCTAGAGCTCATTTTCGAATAATTCGTTCACGCGGCCCGGAAAAGCGCGCGGGAAACTGACAGCGGAATTTTCCATGGGTTTCAGCCGCAGTCGAAGGAATAGCCGAAGATCGATGAATAATAATCCATAATTCAATGAGACTCTTTTGTCTCATTCGACAACAACACCGATCGAGCCTGGAGTCTGCTGACGTAGAGACTTCCCGCCGGCGCCGTCAGTTACAGCAGAGCTGCGGGGGAAGAATTCGCGCCTCGGATCTTCTCCAAAATGCCAGGTGCAAATAACTTGGAATATTTTCATGACGACCGGCTCAGCTCCATCGGATGCTTGACGGCACCGCGTGACGTCAACGTCGACACCGAGAGGCGGATGTCAACTCGGACTATCGAGAACAGCTTCCCTTCTCCGTAGATATTTGCTCGATGGATTTGAGTATTGAAAACCATCGCGGGATACGGAGGGCATCTGGTGACACGATTCTCGTGGATGGCCTCGCCCGTCATAAAACCAGCTTCTGAACGCCGCGGTGTATCCTATCGAAAAACTGAGATTTTGACTTCTTGGAGCGATAGAGCTAAAGTCGTTCGACCGATTCGAACGGCTCGAGCGTTCCAAGTATTGTCTCACCTGAGCGCGGATTTCGGCCTTCTCGTGACGCCAGTGACTCTGGAGTCGGGAATCGGTCCCCCCCCCCTCTTCCAGAGTCTCAGAGCTCCACCGATGGAGAGAAACCTCGAATGAGCAGTCGTGTCTGAAACTTTGTTTTTCTCTCGCTCGCTCGTCGACAACAAGTGATGCAACGAAGCCTTGACTTGATGACTGCTGTCCGCAGACGTAAAACGATGATATTCGTCCGTCCGGCGACCGAGTCTGCCCACAGCGTATGGCCCCGCGTAAAGCCCACCACCCCAACCGCCCTCGCGCGAGCCGTGGCTCGAGCGTGAGATGAGACGCATCCCGGAGCCACGTTAGCGTCGTTGTGAGCTAACGTTCCTTCTTCATCGGAAGCGTCCTTGGAAGCATCCGTATAGCTAACGAAAGCGAGTCACGTGGTTTGTCTTCACTGATTCCGAACACGAAATAGCGACTATTCACAGAGCTATCTCCCATTTCGAGTCATTCGGACGTCTCGCGATTCGTATTGAGCTCAATTGAATCACGTTCATCGGACAGTTTCGCCCGAGGTGGATTTTTTTCGTTGGAAAAGCGGTCTCTAGTAGCGTGACCTCTCCACGAAAAAAAACGAGTGGAACACTGGTGTATCCCGCCGGCGATTACACGGTGGGCCTGCCCGTCGTCTGGACATATTGTAGCCAGCGAGGATCACGGCGCAGCACGCGCTGGCGACGACGGCGAGTGTGTGGTGTGATCTCAGAGTCACAACGATTACCCTCGATCGGTAAAGCTCTGGAACTTCTGAGAAGTCGAGCGCACTCTTACTCGGTCGGATCAGCGACGATGACGCTGACGACGAGCCTGGAAGCCATGGATAACCGCCTTAGTCAGATCAGTCGGTGATCGTTGGCCCGCGACGACCTACGCGAGCACCGAATGCTAGAATGTATTCGGCATTGAATGTCTAGCATGTCGTCTCCGCACCGTCGACCGATCGGAGGTGAGTGAACGACTCAATCGACGGATGAGCTTCTCCTCGAGCGACTTCATCATCGCCGGCATCCGATGGTAATGAGAGTCAACATACGACGCCCCACTTCGAGCATTTCGAGGAAACGTCGAATTACGCGCACCAAAGCGTGAAGTTCGCGAGGAGTCGTCGTCCACGTGTTCGTAACTTCACCGCGATGCCGTTGGGAACGAGTGCCACCATAATAATTATGAAGTGCCCAAGTTCCGGAACGTGTGGAAGATTCTCGCAGATATCACAGCCGCCCTTCCAAGCGTCTCAAGCTGGTCCATCAGTGGCTAACTCGGCTATTTGCGGATCTGCTTGCGGTGAGAGCGCTTGCGGCCGAGCTCGCATTTCGTGTTTGGTAAGGATCCGATCAACATCTCATTCCCAAGGGCGGTCCCAAATCAGAGCTCCTTCCGGAAATACCTTCTTTGCTTGCGACATCGTTGGCATGCTCTCGAATTTCGATTTTGTGACTTCGAACTCCGCGATGATCAGCATCGATAGCGGATCGATGAATATCTTTGACTTTGAGGGACGCGGAACCACCGTCCCGAGTATGTTTCTGAATCTTTCCACAATGATTCAGTCATTCGGGTCTCCCAAGTGCTTTTTTGATCGGCGATATCGAGATCTACACAGAGCAATAATAATCGTCGACGGAGCGAGCCAGCACGGAAAGAGGAAGTGTCCGTTGCCGAGCGCCAACTGCTTCAACACTCGGTGTGTAAAAGCTTTTCTGTCTATGCTCATCCAAAATGAGGCTAGTAGAAATCACTTCCATGATTTCAGACTGTGTCAGTCAATAATAAACTGAGAATACTTGAAATTCCAGATCTGGAGCCAGTATTATGGTGGGATGATCATTCTAGTATTCATCGATTTCTATGCCAGTAGCTTATCGATTCTACCAGAGAATCGACCCGGCAATGGGGTGTATTCGTAACGGATATCCGGGCGAAAGGTTCTCGGAGCTCGTTGTATCAAAGATGAATGTCATACTATGGGGTCCATTGGATTTTCTTGGCGGTCCAGTCGGAACGGGTTCAGGGTGGGAGAGTGAGAGTCGGAAAGGCGAGAAAAGGATACAGCGGTATTTTCGTTTGGAAGGAATGGCCAGAGCCTGCTTCCTCGAAGTTTCACTTCCCTCTCAATTGAGGGTTTTTCCTGCGGGCTCGCAGGTCGCTGCCCTGGATGACGTTGTGACTCATCCGAACGGATTTCGATTCGAGCAGACTCTGTTGAGCGGCGTCAATGAATCCCACACGGAATTTTCATGCGGCTCGAGAATGATCGTGATATGGCCTATAGAAACACCTGCAATTTCAAAAATGGAACTTATCCGATCGCATTCACCCGAGACTCTCCCGCGGACTCGGAGCAGCTTCCAGCGCCCGACGGCGTCGCCTGATCGTAGGGCTCGTAAAAGTCCCAGGTGTGATGATTCTTGATAATTGGAATACATCATTCGAGTATCTCATGGGAATGCCGACCGAGCTAGGCTGCACTGACAGATTCTATTTCTTCGATATCGCCGCAATCTCATGTCGAAATCCCAATGACCATGCCATCTCAAACCTACGAAGCTTCGAGTTCATTTGTGGCCGAAATTATATTCATGAAAAATTTCCAATGCCTCCTTTCATGTGCGGAAACTCAAGAGCATTCGGCCATACGAATGATTAATGGAATGAGAGCGATTACTTATGATTTCATCTGGGATAATCGGAGGTATCTCTGAGAATCCAGTCAGACTTTGTGGAAACTTGAAGAAAAGCTTCCACGACTGTTGTCGAGATGATCTTTTGCAGTCAGCCATGGATCCGTCCCCTTATCCGGGGGGATCTGCATAATTCCTCCATGGGGTGGAGCCCGTGAATTAAAGCAGGAAGTTTCGCTCCGTAGGACGAAATACCTATCAGGCTCAGGCTTGATTTCGCAGGATTATTTTCACATTTTTTTTTCGCAGTATGCCTATTCCACCTAGTCCTCACGTTGCCGATAATACCTGTGCACAAAGGGATCTAAAGCATCGAACTCCGTATTCTCATTACAGGTGAGGGGACAAGGACTAAGCCGCCGCTCCCGCCCAAACCAAAGTTGAAGAGCGCTGCAAGAAAACCTGACGGACCCCCAACATGCAACAAGGCAGAGACCGAAGGCGACGACTCTCGAAATGATCTCCACAAAACGTCGACGGAAAAAACACAAGACCATGAGCTCCGCAAAAACACCTATCCCTGCATCTGTGAACACCTCAACGTCGAAGAAACGGTTCCTACACCCAACGAATGCCGGAAATACTTTTTGAAAAAATCTCTGGAAGACTCGGATCTGCTCATGAGATATCATGACACGTGAGTTCTCGATTTATACCCGCCTATTATAGACACAGCATCCTCGGAGGATACCTACGTGGCTTCTACAACAGCCCAGCTTGCATGTTCTCCGGTATCAGATGTAATTGTTGAGATCAGGCCCGCGATTAGACCTATCGATTAGGAAGTCGATGAACAAGTGGCCACGTGAGCACGAATTTTCCCCGAGGTGGGCAAACAGCGACTCTCGACGTACGCGAGAGACCATTCAGAGTATCTGGATGGAAAGAGCGACATCCGAGAGAAGCTTATTTTTAGAAGCGCTGAAGGGCCGAGGCGTCTTGAAGCCCGAGTGACTCTGAGACCAGAGTCCGTGGTCGCCACCACTTGTTCCTTTTACCTTCAGCATCTTGCGTGGCCCGCAGATTGCCCCCTACATGGTCTAATCCGGTGAGATCGACTTCCGCAAAGTCCTTAACGGCTTCTGTCCTCCTGAGCGAGATCTCCCCTCGGGGAAGCGTGTCTCTATTGACGGCGATCGTGACAAGAACGTGCACTGTGTGAAGAAGCTGCCCGAGGAGAAAATCCGCTGCCAGATGCTATAGTCTCGGAAAAGCCCCAGTCAGAGCAATTGCCGATCGGTAGCGATCGTTGTTGACTGAGTCACCGGTTTTCTCACTTCGCACCGCAAGCCTTCATCGGCCGTGTTTGTCGACCGCAAACTCGATGGTCGTTGAAGAAGTTATCGTTGCGTGAATTCGCCCGTGGCGACAAACACCGAAGTTTCTGCGTGTTCATGTGATATCAGACAGAAGGCACATCAGAGATCGACTTTTTTCTGTCTGTCTAGCAGAGTGAACTTTTGATCCCGAGCGGGAGTTTCATTTGAGTCTCGCCCGGGAATGCCTCGACCATGGTGGATGTTGTTATTTTCGAAAAGGAAATATCGAATCAAGGAGAGACGGCTGTCCTCGCTTGTATGCAGGCGAAACTGCCAGGTCTGAGCCCCGAGTTCCTCTGAGTCGATTCCGATTGATTTGATTTCTAGATGCTTCAAAACGGAGGAGTAGCTTCTGTGTTGAGAGATATACTGAGCTCGATTTTGAAGCGACCTTGACGACATTGACTCCAGACTATGTAGAAACAAGGTCCGGTGAACGAGCGTAAGCGCTGGCTAGGGAGACTGGCGACCTCGAAAGACGACTAGTCACTGGGTCAACCCAGGCAACGCTCGCTTAGCAAGCGGGCCCCGGACTCGGACCGGTTTCGTGAGCCAGAAGGGCGTTTCGATCTGCTAATATTCGTGAGAAGGCATATCAAGAAGTAGAAAGAGGTTTTGGGTGGGATCGGCTCACCCACAAAAGAAAACATCCATGGGAGCCCGAATATACGGGGGATACGGCATTGTCTCGACGTCGGTAATCAATGGATCGATCAATCACTCGAGGAATTCATCACGATGCGCCGCGGAGGATTTCTCCCCCCGCTCTCCTTTTATCTGAGGTCGATCGAATCTAGAAGAGTCGACTTGATTCCAGTGGTCGGGACTCGGGAAATTCCTCGGTGGCCTCCAGTTCATCGTCAAGTTTGAGCTACGCCCCGTTTGCGAACCCTCGACACAACGCCCCGTCATCACCGCAGCAGCAGCTGACGACGCCTTGCCCAGTCTCGGAACTCCCGATGCAAGACGCCCCCGTCGAGAAAAGCGATGTCCGAAAACCACTCGTAGGCGAAACGCGGGTCAACACACTCGAGCGGAATCGAATACAGAGCATTGAGGATGAACACAAATACGAGACCTTAGATCACGGCGCTCGGTGAGTTCTCCCAAGATATGAGCGATTCTGCCGAAAACATGAAGTATTATTTCTCGTGGAGTCCTCAGCCGTCGATTCCCGATCGTCGGATGAGATCTGAGGGGGATAGAAGGTCATCCCGAGTCTGTCTTTTCTGCTTCAGAGTGCCACAAGTATCGGAAGACGAGGGCGTTTGCTGCTCTAGCTTGAAGACAAAGATCTCTCCGAAGGTAAAGGAACTAGTGCGCCCTCATCACGAAGGCGATCACTCCAGGGAACGGCCACCCATTCCGAATAAACCTCCGCGACCGAGCCTCCAGAAGAGCTTGCGGCCCAACTCAAGTAAGACCGTGTGTGAGTTAGAAATGAATTTACAAGAATCAAACGAAAATTCTTGTAAAGAGGCTGCTAGCTGACCGGCGAAGCCGACGAGTGCAAAGTTTCGCGCGAGACCTACAGCGCGATTCGCTCGGTCCATGTGGATGACATATACATATATGTCAAGGAATCTTGACAACAAGTTTTTCCGGTCGATGAAAACTCGTTGTATTGCTCACGGGAACGCTCAGAGAACGGCTTGCAGTTATTCAGTTTTCTGTCTCTTGTACACCGTCGTAGAAATAAACTCACTGACACTAGAACACGATAACACTCGCTGCTCGACGTCGACTACCGGCTACAAACTCACCAACGTGGAACTAAGAGCTTGGTCTGCTTCGACTTTTACGTCCCCTCGGTAAGTGCATTTGAGGTCTAGAAATCGGAGGTGGAATATTCCTCTACGTAACAATTCGGTTCTAGATGAGCCCGGAATGTTTTCACATTCCCAAAAAATCTTTGTATGTGTGTGTGTCCGTACGATTTCAATCGAGTGCTCGCTGCTAACCGCAACACACAGAGGCGCTGACGGCTTCACAGCAAAAACATCGGCTTGTGCTTTACAGCGGACACTATCCTCTCGGTGCAATTTGCAGATGAGGGAATAGACGAACGAGAAGCAGACTATAAAGAGAATCTCAGTCTGGTCGATCAAATTAAGGCAGCCGCGCAGAGTGGTAAGCATCCCGAGTGACGATTTTCGATTCGCAAACAATCGACCACCTCGGAGCTGCGCCTTGAACCTCACACACAGACCATCAATACCTGAATACGAACCGGATTCGCTTCTCTCACAGCTGGCTACGAACCCATCGACACGAATCGCAGCGTCGTCCTAACTATTCCTGGAGCTCCGACAAAAGGACGTTCGACCAAAAAAGATCTTTCGACTCGACAGTCTGTTGCATACGCGGACATGGAACCAGAGAGTGAATTCAAGCCCGTCTTAGCTTCGCAGACCTCCATCGAGCTGAAGGGGATCTCTAAAAAGAGAGTTCAAGTCGACGACGAAACCCCGAAGCTACAAATTGACGTGAAAGTTAGCAAGGATAAGAAGAAAGCTTCCGAGAACGTCAAAGCCGTGAAGGAATCTCCAGTGACTGAAGCATCAAGAACCGATGAGAAGAAGAAGGGCCTCATCAAACGCGTCAAAAACATGAAAATGGAGAATCCATTCAAGAAATCCGAAAAGGACGACGACTTTGAGGAACCGTCGGATAGATCGAAATCGGGCTTCAGGAATATGTTCAAGAAGAAAGACAACGACGATTTCGATGATTCCGATGATCAGGACAGACGCACCTTCTCGACGAAGGTTAGTAAAGCGCTCCGTCGCGATAAGAAAGACGGCACCGAACTCGATGAACCTGACGTCTCGCAGGAAGAGAACACAAAAACGTCGAAAGTATTCGGGAAAATCTTCAGGAGCGAATCGAAGACGGCCAGACAGGATGACGACTACCCCGAATGCGACGACCCAAAGAAACCATCGCTGATGAGTAAATTATTCTCCAAGGACCCGAACAAGGAGAATGGCGAAAGGGATGTCCAAGAAGGCGGGAAGAGGTCCTTCATGTCGAAAATGTTCCAGAGAGACCCGCGTGACGATGACGGTGACCTCGACGACGGGACCGAGAAGAAACCCTCCCTGATGAGTCGCGTGTTCTCTCGTGACGCTAGAGATGACGAGCTCGACGGAAGTCACGAGAGGAAAACTTTCTCCGAGAAAATGAGCGATTTCAAGGAGAAGGTCCTCAGCAGGAGGGACCGGATAAGCGACGAGGTCGAGAACGAAGTCAGGGATCCCTCCGAGAAGAAATCGCGATTCGAAAAATATTTCCCGTCCGAAAAACCCATGATACAGCAGTTCGTCCTCACGAAAGAAATGGAGCCAGATTTGAAAAAGCGCCGGATGGGAAAAATCACGAGTTTCCAGCAAACCAAAGAGGTCGAAGGGGAAGTCGACTCGCCAGCGAAAAAAATGATCAAGGAAAATATGGAGAAGATCGCGACCAAAGTCAAAGAAGTTCAGGATATGATGCCGAAGACTTTCATCACCACCAAAGAAAGAGATCCCGAACAAGAGAAACCGGATTACGAGATTACGACGCAAGTGACGGTGAGGAGAACACCTTCTCCCTGCAGATTCGAAGGTCGGAAGAAAACCGTCTCGGAAAGCAGTAATTTCAGTGATCGAGAAAATTTGCAGATCACGCCCGTTTTGGCTGAGGGTAGCGAAAAGCTAACAACGGACAAATCCACGGTTTTCTACGCGAAAATCGGCGAAAGCGAAATTGAAGTCAAGGAGGATCACTACGGTAGGATCCAGGTGGGCGACAAAAAGATCCCATCTATGCGAGACCCTTCAAAATGTTGAAGAGGAGTCTGACCGATCTTTCGAGATCAACTCCGTCGCTACCGTCGCGGGTCGAAGAGCCGATCGAATACATCGACGTCACTGAACTCTCTCAAGAGCCCAAAGAAGAATCCATCAGTCATCACTACGAACAGCTGGGCGAGCCAGGCAAAAAGAAGAAATCGGTGTCGAAATTTAAAGTGCGGGGGCGGAACGGCGCGTCAAACGTCATCATGGTAGAAACCGAACTCGTCAAAGGCAAGAGCTTGAGCTCCCTGAACGAGCCGGCGACCATATCCGTCGTGAAAACCGTTGAGAAACAGAAACCTCCAGTCCCGCCCCGACCGCGCAACATCACAACTCCGACCATCATCGGTGAGCAATGATGCATATGCACACATACATATGAAGATGGAGTCTATATATATGTATATGCATAAATGGAGACCGGTGCCAAATATCATTCGGTGAGCTTCATTGCACCCATCCGATCCGAGGTTCGGGTTCATGGCTGAATTTTTCATGATTGGATTTTTTATACTCACGGAATTCCTCCTTCTCGCAGGGAAGCCGCCCTCGACGCCGACGACGCCGACGTCGTCCAATGCTGAATCTTGCTCGATGGCGCCCTTTGCCCACGTGGAAAATGTCCACGACGAAGGAGTGAGCTCCCCCAGCACTCGGGCGACAACTCCTTTATCACTGTTCGGCGAATCCATCAAGAGGAAACTCGCGCCGCCTCGACCCCCTCCTCCGAAGATCTCTACTGTCACCACCAAAGTAACGCCTACGGCAATCACAACGACGACCGTGTCGTCTGAAAGCAAACCCCAAACAACTACGTTCAAAAAATCGCTCAAACCCTGCAGACCGCCTCCGCCGAAGGTGACAGTCACGTAAGTGGTCCCTGGATCATTTATCCCGATACGTTTTCCTCCAGATCCGCGGAAGGAAGTCTTAATCACTCGTAATCGTCGGAGGGCTCATTCTCCATGAGTGCCTGGTTTCCATGGGTTTTCGGCCCGGAGCTCGTGGAGATCTATCGCAATAAAAGGTTTTCCTCTTTCAGCCGAACAGTGCAGAAGACCCCGGTGACCATGGACAAATATTCCGTCTACTGTCAAACGGACGTTGGCCTGAGCACCGACCTCCTGGCCAAAATCGAACGTGTGGTCTCCTCCTCATACGAGGAGAGTCCTTTCAAGCCTCCGAGGTCAAGATCCACTTCCAAGTCCGTCGACAACGTTGGCGTCGCCAGCACATCGACGTGTAACCCTAGGCCCTATGACGCTGTTTTGTGAGTGTCCATCCGACTGTCACCCGTATATCGATTGGAGAAATGCTAAATCGGATCGAGTTTTCTAACTAATTCTCTGCCCTGAATGTTCTAGTTACGACGAGCCCGTGCGTCTGAGGAAAGCCGGTCTTGGTCAGGAAACCGAGCTCTCGAAACGTATTTCAACGCTACAGGTGAGTCCTCACAATTGCGCGAAGGAATATTAAACTTTATCCCCGTCAAAAAAACCCGAGTGCGCTTTCGTTGCTTTGGGAATGCTTAGTGTCCGCTTAGGGCTTCGTGTGGCTTCACCGTCGATAAACCGGCTCACTTCCACCGTGAACTTCCGTGTGCTCTCTCAAAGATAAGCTGATATCCAAGGCGTTCAGTTAATGGGTCGATGCGGAAACAGGGAGGGGGACGAAACAGAGGAGCACTCCGAGGAAAGAAAAGATGGCCACGTGGATGCGGCTTGGGGAGGCCTGACAGACGAACGAGAGGAATCAGGAGTCAGGAGGAAGAGCTGGGAATCATAATCAGAACATCAATTAACATATGTAGATAGGAGAAAATTCGCAGCGCGAGCTTAATTCAGCTACCGAGTTGTCGAGCAGGCAAGCGAAGGTTGCAACTGACTAGACAACGCATGTGTTATTTGTACTGACGCAGTTCTCGGTTCTCCGACTTTTCGGGCTTCCTCCTGACGTCCTTGGGTTTCTCTGCCGTTTCAGTCTTTCCGGCGCTCCCTGGTCGAGCAAGGGGGGACCCCTCTGCAAGCAGCTGTAGCGTTGGCGATCGTTATGTTCTGGATCTACTGTCCTTTCTTCCTTCTGTCGTTCAGGAGTCTGTGCTGTCTCGCCGTTCTTTTTCTAGTCTTCTTCAAATGAGCTTCAAATCGTCGTCTCACTATAACCCGTGTTTCACGACATTATCCACGGAAGATTTTCCGTCGATGATTGGTCCTGGGAAAAATTCGGGAATGTAATCAAGGAGAAGAGAGAAGTGTCCAAGACTCGGAAGAGATGAGCGGAGGAGACACGATCCGATTTGTGAATGAGAAATATCTTCTTCGAATAAAACTGGAGCTCCTGATGCTGACTCCCAGACTCCTGTCTCTGTCTTGATTGTGTCATCTGTCCGAAGTCACCCATCGGCCTTGAAGGGAACCTCGGTTTTTTCCTATGGGGATCGTTGTGTGAACTCGTAAGGATCATCCTCCACACATCATAAAACCGCTTTCTCCCGAAACAGATTCTTGAAGAAGAAGAACCGCCTCCGTTGCCACCCCGCGGAATTCGACGGTGTAAATCGGAGAGCGACGTGGATTCGTCGGACTCGATTTACTACGATTGCTTGGGACCCGACGAGATGCGCTTCGTCAGTTGGGCTGAAGAGGATGAGGTCCGCGTTTACGAAAGGGTCACCGACGAAAGCCCGAGTAACTCGATTTCTCAGAGTACTCCACCTCCCTCAGCTGCAGCTAGTGAAACTAACCTCCAAGGTGAGCGGAAAATCATTGACTTCAAGACTTCGAGGAGAAAAAAAGTAAACATCCTAACGCATGTCGTATGACTCTCCTTGATAGAATGAAATGTTGGACACTCGGGTCAATGTAACCATTTAGTGACTGTGATCATAGACATCCGAGTATGCACGGGCAGCATGCTGAGATTCAAGATCTCAATCGATGCTCAGCAACTTTTCGCTCATCTGCAGAGCTGGCTAAACCCGAAAAATCACCGTGGTCCCCGCCGAGGGATCTGGGCCTCGATTCCGACTCGGATTGGTCAGATCATCCAGTTCAGAAACCATCCCCTTCGATACTACTCAACAAGAAATCATTCATGGTGCGCGCCATGAAAGATTTTGGAGGCTCATCGACAGACACAGACAATCAAATTCCGCAACAAATTGCGCAGCCTCGAAAGAGACACATCAAGTGAGTTCATGAAAGAGCCATCCACGAGCAGCCGAACCCCGGAAGAGCCCGTTGGTCCGAGAGAACCACGGTCCCTCGACGAAACTACTGTTCTGAAGTAAAAGTATGGGAAACAGGAACGACGGGTTGGCGGGAAGGAAGTCGACGTGTTCCATTCCCAACTTAGCCTTTTTTTATCGTTCAGTCTGGCGCCGCTCCGTTGTCGTATCGAATATTTGGATGGTCGCAGCCGTAATGCGCCGCATGACGCACGGCCTTCCAAGAGCTTGCAGACACTGACCCTCTCGCGTGCTCGAGCACACACACAAACGATCTCAGATAAGGCGGGCCAAAATGTTTAATAGACGGACTTACTCGAGTCATTGCTTTCTCCCAAATCCCATGGCGATCTTCTTTCTCTCTCCTCTCACTCTCAATAAGTCTAGTCAACCACACCTCCAAATCTTGAATTTGTTGTATTTTTGCTCGTTTCGAGCAATTCATGTTCAAGATCGGAGGAGTCCACTAGTTTCCCGTGAAGCGGCTCTCAGACTTCGGTCGATTATTTTTGACGAGCGGATCGAGAGCGTCGTTGCACACCTGCAAAACTCACAAAGCATCCTTGGATCGACACGGATTCACGACCAAATAGCTCAGCCATCCTGCGGAGCCGTTCAGCAACATGTGCTGTCGGCAAAAGGAGCCGGAAACTACGGGCCGAGTGCAGAAGTCGAAAGCTGAGGTCGCTCGATGGTGGTCACGACTCATGAGCCTTCTGCAGAAATGCACCTTCTGTTCGTATGTCGTCTCCGAGATGGAGTTCCTCTTTGTTGAAACAGAGTTCTTCTTAGGTTCCCTCAAACTTTGAACCTTAGTCGATGGTTACCGATTTGAGAGCTAGCGAAGCCTCCGTGAGGAAACAGAGGAAATTGGGAGATTTTATGAATGCCGGTCCATGAACTTGTTTAGAGAGCACGACGTCATTCCGTTGAAATTGTTTGCTTCCTCCGCTTGCAGACGATCTCCGGTTCACTCGACGGCGGATCGAAAAGTCCCCGAAGGATTCAAGCGTCATCACGCGTCGGACTCGGGCGAAGACACCGACGATCTCCTGAAGCGAGCTCAAGAGGTCCAGGATCAACTGCGGCAACTTCTGTCCTACCGCACCGAACAGCTCAGAGGTACCCTCTCCCCACCTGAAGGTCCAGTGAGCAACTCAGAGAGTCAGTCCTAGAAATCCCGCAAGGACCACACTGGAAATTGCGATGGACTCCGAAAAGCGTCGAGCCTGCCGTTCCGCGAGTGTTTGCTAGGCCGTATCCGGAGTTTCTTTCTGAATCACTCATCTCAACACTCCCGGTTCCCAAAAATCGGATCTGAGAGTTCGAAGCCTGGTCGCTGCCTAACCGCGAAAGCACTGACAGACTATCCGCTTAGCGAGGCATTTAGCCGTATGAGTGAGCGGTGCGAGTTCGCAAGAGCCTCGGCCGAATGCTGTGAGTGTTCCATCCAACCATCCTTCCTTCCACTAGTGTTATGTGTCATCGAGCTGCCTCGAGCGGCTTGCACTGCCAGCGTTGGATTACGCGAGTGGACTCACCAGCCGACCGAGTGAGCGGGCGAGCGAGTCGACTGACTCGCGAGTCAGAGATTGTGATTTGAATGCAGTATGACTGGTTGTGTTCTGGCCTCCTTGGCGAAGTGCATTCCGCGAAAATGCAGTACGTTCGGCAACTGATATGTTTTCTCGTCTCGCCTAATGGTTGGATGCACAGCCTCAAATCGAGACTGGTGAGCTGAAGAGCTCGTTCACCCGCATTTCCGCTCGCCGCTTTCTCGCGCTTGTGCGAAGCCGGGCCTATACGTTGCGGGCGGCCAGCCAACCAACCAGCCAGCCAGGCAGACGGCAAGGCGGGAAGGACCGGAGTTACTGAGAGATTCCAGACCGCTGCACAGCTGTGGCAAAACAAGACGCCAAAGTCGAACAGGTTTCACTTGTGGCAGAGGAGATTCTGTTGCCTGTCCCGACCATGGTGGCTGATGTGTTTACTTTGGAAGCTTTTTGCAGCAGCAATGGCGGCAGACTCAGCGGCCACTCTCGACTCTCCGTGGCTACCGCGGCTCTCTGCGTGTGTAGCACGGCTTTTCGCTGCGCTCCGGAGCGTTCTTTTCGTTCTTCTCACTCTCTGGAACTTCATTGACTTCATTGACGCGATGAGGAGTCCGCCAGATTTCAAGTCTCGCTCCACGCGGGTCGATGGCTTAGCCCGGTCTCTATTAGTAGGCATTCTCAAGCAGGCAATCGAAAATTCACAGAGCACTCGAGTTTCGCAGAAGATGCGGACGGTTTTCGGCTCCATGGGTTTCACTTCGGCGGTGGCGAGGTTATATCACAAGAATAATCCGATGGTCCAGGGGCGCGGATCAGCTTTGATTTTGGTCAGCACATCCCGCAGCTAATCTCTTTAATCAGGACCGTGGATAAATGTGACGCCAGAACCGGGTGCGACGGTGCACGCAACGTTTAAGCCGCTGCTTTCGGTGTTTCGTTGGTCTTGGATATCCTCGTAGTGCGCTGGGAACAGTGATCTATTGAAGTATTCATCGATTGATCGGTCGATTGCTGATTGGTGCGATGAATTCTGAAGAAGGAAACTCGGAACACAATCCTTGTGGAACAGGTCGGGGAACTGCGTGAATAATAAGAACGCTTCCAGTCAAACGACCTTGAATTCAGAGACTGTGTGCGGCTACTTTGTTGTCGGCTGGTATTGTTGTCAACGTGACCACACGCTTTGCCGTAGCAGTGAGTCGGACTTGCTAGCGTGAGGAATAGCTGCTCGTCTGCATGGAAGTTTTGACGCTCGGTGAGCGTAGAAACTCGTCGGAGACGCTGCCATCGCGGGGTAGACATTCTGTCTGAAATCGTAGCTAGCTCAGTAGCGGATACAGCTGAATGAATTCGTGAAGTCTCTGGTTTCGTAAGACTGCGTGATTGTCTGAGTTGTTCTGTAAAATATAGATTGCTGGGAAAGGTGTTTTCTGTGTAAAGGGTGACTCCATACGAGCGCTCCGATGTGTTGTGTAGTCTATCTGCATGCAGAGATTTATAGAGACTTGTGCGGTTTCACCGAATGTGTTTACCTTGAATTCTTTTTCAGACTTTTCTGCAGGGCCGAGCAGTCTGTATCGCAACATGAAGGCTCACATTACACATTCACTTGTGACAAACCAGGAAGACGTTCACGCGATTCGCGCCATTCCACTTCCTCGAATCTCCATTAATATTCACTCGAGGAATTATTCTAGAACACCATTACATGCGGAACACGAAGCCGTTCTCTGAGTGAGCGTTCGGCTCGTAATCGGATAATAATTCAGCTCGTTAATCCATTCAGGATCGTATATGAACAGGAAATTTCATGGGGCGCTCGCTATTGTACTTTTCCCTCGCATTACCATACACCAGTAATGAGCATGATAATAAGGATTTTCACTCGGTAGCAACAGGGAACGCTCCAAGAAATTTCTCGATTACTCATAATCCATTAGAATCCGCGAGCAAGATCTGGCAGGGGTTCGATTCCGAGGGTCCCTGTCGGATCGAATGTAGATCTCCTCCAATTGATGTGTATGAGACCCTTGACTTCACCGGACCGAAGCAGGAGCTCGATGCCGAAATCCCGCGCTTAGCGTTCTTGCTAATGTCTGAATTTCGTTCTTCAGTGTGTCTCGAGGCCGATATGTCGTCGTCGACCGACCCGGAGCCGGAACCGGTGTCGTGTTCCCGGGCAGAAGCACAAAAGACTGACACTCGAGAAGAAGCTGTGTCGAGCGATTCAGAAGAGGAGAAAGAATTGACTCCCCCGCCCCTCGACCCTCGCGAAAAGGCTCTGAAACACGCGGCAAACGTCGCGCGTGAAATGGCTTCCTCCGAAGCCGCATTCGTTGACGCGTTGAAGCTAATTGTGGAGGTAGGCACACGATCGAGCTGAGGACTTCTGCTTAGAAATCGCTGGTGGGAAAGACTAAAATCGGTGGATTTCCTGAAGGATTTCAAGGGCGCCATAAATGCCGGTCGCGAACAGCGCGGGGACATCTTGATACCGAATGAAGTCTTGGATCCCATACTCTTATACCTTCCGGAGCTGCTGACCTTTTCATCTGATCTTCTCGACAATCTCAATGCTCGCGTTGCTCGCTACGATGAAGACAAGGTCAGAAAGAGTTTCATTGCTGAGGGACGCAACGGAAAACGTATCGTGTCGATGTTGACCTGGTACACCTAGGATTCGAATCGCTTGCCTCCTCCTCAGGTGATCGCCGACGTTTTCGTCAAGCTAGGGCCGTTTCTCAAATTCTACTCACATTACATCAAGGATTACACAACGAGGTGTAATTATTTGGAAGATGCTCGCAAAAAATACCCTGAGTTCAACCAGATTGTACAGCAGTTCGAGGTTCGTTAAGAGGACCTCCTATGGGTCGGGGGACTGTCAGCCAGGGATCAATGGCCTCTTATTCTGCTACTATAGGCTCCTCTGACTTCATCGGAGGATCCTTCGGCTATGTTCATATGTTGATGGTACACTTTGATGGACGTGTTCTTCATTCGAACCCCTTGTAGGCAAGCCCCCGCTGCAACAAGCTTTCTGTCATACAATACATGTTGAAGCCTGTTCAGCGTATCCCACAGTATCGTCTATTGCTAGACGATTATTTCGAGCACCTACCCGAAGACCACCCGGATCGAGCAAACGCTCAGCAAGGTCTACATATTGTCAGCGCTGTTGCCGACCACGCGGACGAGACTATGAAGCAAGGAGTTAGTTTCTTTGAATTATTTCCACGAGAGTATCACAAAAATCTTCAGATACTCCTCGGTAGGAGGAGCGCCATGATTCGAAAATGTTTTTCCGCGAGTGAGCAATCGCGACCGTCGAGGCGTTCGGTCGAGACGCTTTGCTCGATTGCTTTTCTTCACTGAATCCTTCGTTCGATTCTGCAGGAGAATCACGCGGAGATGGTTCGACTGCAGAACAGTCTCATGATGTCTTCGGGATTCAATGTCTTCAAACCCGGAAGGGTGAGCTTTTTGCGCAGATCTTCCGGCATAAGATATAGCTCCCCTTTCAAATCGCGAGCGTAATGTTGTTTGTCGTTTCAGATGCTCATCAAGAAAGGGAATCTTCTCAAACACAATAGGAAAATACCTCAGTTGAAGCACGTGGTTTTGGTAAGAGCCCCCTTACATACTTCCTCAATCGAAGTGTTTCAGCGGTGGAGTACCTACTTCCGGAAGTTTTCAGAATTTTTATCGAGCTTTGATTGCTACCCATGAGTGCCGGACAGAAATCTGATGAGCTTCGCTAGGAACCCTAAGCAGAATTACAAGACTTTGCCGCGTCGGAATCGAGTCGACTCCGAAAAATCGAAAAGCCAACATAGCGTTTCCTTCGTTGGCTACGCTTACGATCTGCCGAGTAGATTTATTTGGGGTCCGACATCCATTGCCGGATCGGTTGGCGAATCGTTCTGGATTGATCGTAAGCGAAACAATACACTAGTAACTTCAACGTAGAGAAGGGAACCTTCACGGCGCTTAGAAAAAAATTCTGAACCTGTGCAATGCCCGTCTAGACCATGTCTGCTCATAGCTGAACCGAACCTTCTGCTCGTGCCTTCGCTCTTCGGACGCCAAGCGCCGAGGAAGGGTCGGTCCAGTATCACTTGGCCTAGCGTCGGTGGAGCCCAGATTTTTATTCAATGCACCACTGCGGCACTCGACCTTTTCATCGCCGTCGTCGACGTTCCTGCTGCGGGAGCCGCCGCCGCGCCGCCGTGGCTGCTGCTGGTGTGGTTGCTGTCTGGCCTCGACAGAAATTCTGTGAGAAGTTGCAAAGCCTTCAGCAGAACCTCACGAAGTCTAGCTCAGCTGAAAGAATATTGCGCGAGTATATTTACGAATTCAACACAAAACACTAGCGTTTGATGCGAGAAGATAGTGTCAAAACAGTTAGATAAACCCCAGAAGATGGATGCAGTCACGGATGGAGAAGGGTTGGATCAAACGGCCGGACAAGCTACTAGAACGCCGCATTTGGATCTGAATGTACAGCATTCGTTGGATATTGCGAGCATTTTCGCGAAATTTCGGTGCCACGGCGAATATGGAACCGGAACGGAGGAACTGCCTACACGGGAAAGTTGATCGGAGAAAAACTTCTGTGCGAAGACGTTCGCTCCTAACGGTCGTTAAGGTCATCGGCTTTTGGAGCGGCTTGCCGCGTAACGATCAGCGAATTCAGGTCATTCGTTCTCGCTTACGTCGAAAGCCCCAGACGAGCATCTGGCATTTTCTTCGGGCGTTGCGAGCTAGCCTCCTCCAGATTCGATCCGAAGAAAAAATCAGCTCCCTTCGTGCGGAGCTGAAAACGAATGGAACTAGGTGGCGATAGGGATCAATCGGCCTCAGGAGGGGGAACGAGGGGAGGGGGATTTAGGCGAAGGAGCGCGTCCCCCGGAGACACAAGCGCAACGTCGAACGTAACAAGAATTAGGCGATCGAAAATTCGCCATCGACGGTCGAAGCCTGAGTCGCCCACCCGAATTTCGAATCCATCTCAAAAGTTTCGTCCGGAGAAACAACACGATCTTGCATCAGACACGGTCAGTGAACACTGGCCGTGGAGAAAGTCGTGGAGAGAAACGCGTTCCGATGGCGTAATTCGAATAGTCGTACGTCGCCGTCGCTAAACTGTAATTCAACTTCCGCTGCCTGCCAGCGGCATGCTTACGTCGCAGCCGTCGTGAAATCCGGATGCGTTTTCCCAAAACGCCTTCTTCCGCTTTGACCCAGAAGAGCTCTGGCCCGTTTCAATCCGTGTGTTCGGACACGGTCTTCCCAAGAGCTTCGGCTTTCAGCTGGTCATGCGAACTTATCGGATTCGTATCGAAAGTTGTTCGGACTAGACCTGCTTGCGGAAAAGAACCAGCACACGCAAGAAACAGGGCACGGGGAGATGGAGCTCTAGCCGGTTGCTCTGCGATGGAGGCGCCCGGAACTTAGTTGCTGATCCCAGTGAGAGCGGTAGTTCGGAAGAAGTCTTTCAGCCAGTTCGTCGATGACCGTCGATTTTTCCCACCGATGTGGGGCATGGTCAAAGCATTACTTATGCAGATGATGGCTGCGCTGACACCACTATCGTGAGTTGATCTCAGTCAGAAGTTTTTCGTGTTTTCCATCGTCAGTAACTATGGGATCAGACGGAGCAACGTTCAGCTGACAGAGTCGAGGCGAAAGAAAGAACGAGAGCCGCATTCTTAGTGGGCCATTCTGTTCGCCTCGGGGAATATTCCAAGAATGTCGCAGGTCATCTGGCCGCTGATGATTCATCGCGATCAGCTCGATCTATTAGTCAATAATGCGCTCATAATCTTGTGGCTGGTTCGTTGCTGATACCGATTAGAAAGTACTAGAATCTTTCGGGGCAAAGACGACTAAATTCGGTACTCTGGAGCAATGCTCTCTTTATTTCACTGGAGCTTATAATTGAATGCACGAGAAATACCATTGGGCGATGAATAGTCCTCGGCTTCGAAGACAACTGGAGACTCTGGAAGGAGATCACAGACAATCGCTCAGAACTGTTCTCACGGGTCCGGAGAATTATTGGCTTTCTCCGCTTTGACTTTTCCCTCCGGAGCTTTCGATTCCTGCGATGATGACGACGATGGCGACCTACGCCCGAAACACGACATGAAATGCTTGTGCACATGATAGCCCGCGTACATCGGTAGAGCGAGCAGCGCGACAACCGTGAGCCCACAGAGAGCGCCAATGCCAGCCAGCGGGATCGCGATTAATCGACCCAGAAACACAGCGCTTCTGATCAGTTTCCTTTGAAACGGTTTGTTTGGCTTGTATCTGTATTTACAGCCAAACACGCTCAGTTTGCTGTAGTGGTCACCGAAAAACTTCATGTGACGGAGCTGTCCGCCACATCGGTAACAGAAATGCGTTCGGCAATGCGCGCAGTTCATGTGGTCACAGCCAGATGCTCTCTGTATGTAGATTTTACAGCGTGGGCACTTCTGAGCGTTCCATTGACCCTCCGAAATTGACTTGGCCCAGGATTTCAGCTGACTGAGGTGGGATGAACTGTAGAGATCGCACGAGACTCCCTCGTGGTTCGCATCGCAGCGGAAGCACCAGACCAGGAAGCAGTGTGGGCATTTGCCGCCGTCGTACTGGACGACGATTGTGGCACAGCGCGGACATCGTTTGTCGCCGCGGATCTGTCGAGCGAACTCGTCTCTGACTTGGGTTCGGCCGCTTTCTTCGAGAATTTGCAGAACCAAACGATCCGACACGAACTTATCACAGTTGGGACACTCGATACGAGCAACACATCGCGTAACTTTACGTTCCAAATACTCAGCAAAACACAAAGTACACACAAACACTCCACAGCATTCACGACGTTTTGACTTGTCCTCGCCGGAGAAACAAATTTCACATGGTGACGAGTTTTTGGTGACCGCTGGCGGCAAATCGACGGTACAAGACACTCCCGTGTGCTCTCCGCCGAGCTCCTCCACTACCACTTCGAGTATCTGTTCGGCGTCCGCATGGGATTTATTCGCGGACAGCCGCAACGGACCCAGGGCTTCGATCGTGGCGCCGGCCGTCATTGCGGCCGCATCTGTTACCACCGCTGCCGTAGCTCAGCTCGTTGGTTAGACTGGCGTTTTCGAATAGCGGCAAATGCTCCGATGGCGAGAAGAAACCGAAGACGTCGGCGACGGCGGAGGAGGATTGGGGGAGGGTGATGATGATGAAGAGGACAACCAGGAGATCTAGCGGATGACGACTTCGATGATTATCATCACGACGTTGGAAACGAGCTCCACGTGCACGTCTCGCGAGATCACGCACCGAGCGACTGCAAGAGAAAGTCTCTATAATTTCCTCTCACGCTCTTCGCATCGCTAGCATTTTACAAAACGCGCGAAAGAATACAGGACCGAGAAGAGTCGAGTCGGTCTTGTCCATCTCATTGTAAAATGTGGGTATTCTCCACCCTTGTGTGAATCGTTACGGTGGATGACTCGATTCCGGTGGAACGAAAAACAAACTCAGGGGCAAGGAGGACAGCCTTGAAACGTCACATTCAGTAGTGATCAACAACAAACCAGGTCTTCGTCGACTCAAAGCCAGAACTTACGACTTCCGCCTAATCAGGAGACAAGGGTGTCAAAGCAAATTTTTATGCCCGTATCTTTCATCCGAGAAAGTCGAATAATGTCATTCCATCGGATCCAACGGGAGCGGCAGGAACTACTCCGTCTAGCTCGCCAGGGAGCCTTGAGATAGAACAATCTTTTTTTTTGGTAGTTTCCCTGAATGATGGACTTTGGAGTGGAGCTTCGGTCAACCTTAGCTAGCGCCATCAGCAACGTTCCGTCGGGGCTGAGCTAAAATAACAGGATACTGAGTGAGCCTGGTCCAAGATAACTCGCCCCGAATTCCACCAATGATTAATTCACGGTGGAAACGATCAACGAAGGTCATCAGACTAAAAATAGTGCGACTGCTCTATCAATCAACGATACCGCCCGTGACCCTTCATGAATATCTAGGAAAACCACTGACGGATGCGATGCTCTTCCTTGCCTATGCCTATGCCTTTGACGTGACGGCCGTCGCTCACCGAACCGGTGGATCCCGACGCCAGCTTTGTCGGCGCTCGGTAACCTGAGCCGTGGGTGCAAGCAAGCGACTTACCGGAATATCGCAGGATGTCTTTTCCCGGGAAGTTTTTCGCGATGAAGTCCCGTTGTTCGAATGCGCTCTCACCCTGGGAACGATCCGAGTCTCGGAGAGGCCGAGAGCAGACGATGTCGGACGGACTCCTCCCGAGCACCACCCAAGCCATAATCTGCCGGTGGGATCGGTCATTCCGCGGGACGCAACTCGCCTCTCTCCGCCCCCCCCCCCCAACCTCGCCGAGAGACGGTGAGAGACAAACGGCTTCTCGAAGCACCCCACGGAATAATCGAGTGGCACTGTGGATTTTTCCCCTATTTCTCCTCTTCATCTCCCTCGATCGGATCGAGCCGAATTACTCGGTTCTCAGACAAGGGGATGAACGTGTTTGGATCGAGCAGGCGAGAATCGCAATCCGACCGCTGAGCAACGATCGAAAGGGATCAAGTTCTTCGATATCCCCGGCAGCCCGATCAAGCTCTTTTGAAATCGTCATCGGCCTGATCGTGGGACCAAGAGGTAATCTTGACAGGAAAATCTCTCCAAGTCGGAGAAAGTCGATGCCTCAGACCAGGACATGTATGTCATTGTCGTCCTAGTCACCCGTAACGATCTCGTAAGAAACCCAAACGAATACTAACTGACGTGATCGGCCACCCATTGTTTCCCAGACGGCCTTCAAACATGATGTTACTTAACAACGCCCGCGCAGAGGCCCGTTTCTGGGCCAGGGACCAAGCGAGTCGACAAGCTGGCTGCCGCGCGACTTTGTCGATGACTCGACAGTCCCGGAAGAGGGGAACTTCATTTTGTGCCAGTGAATTTTCTGTCCTTTGCGAACCAAATGTTTCTTTCGGAGCTTGTGAATCGAGACTTGTAAACAAGTTTCGATTAGCAGTCGGCGCCTCCACTTCCCGCTGTTTCTTCATACTGCAATGAGCCACCGCTTCCGTCCAATTTAATTGGATGGGGCAGACAATCCAATGCTGGGGAGCGGGCGCTGAAAAGAATTATGATGCGGAATGATTTGCATATACTACGTTCTAGCTTCCTGTACGTTCACTTTAAGGATGCATTCATTTCGTTGGATTAGAGTTTGAATGATGAGAAAAATTTCATTCATGTACAAACCCAGGGGCGTCAGGCGCCGAGACGAACTCAGAAAATCGTTCCAACCATTTCTTTCCCTCCATCTCAGTTCTCGGATTGCCTCACCTACATGACTCAAGTTCAATCGACTCTGAACACCTTGAAGTCAATCAGAGAATTTTCTTTCGATCACCTGACCGTGAAAGCCGACGAGAGATACCCCAATGAGTTTAGCGTTCTTTCGGATTGGAAGTCCTTCACGTTGATAGCTCAGTAAGTACTCTGCATCCTACATGACCGAGGAGCCAATAATTACTTTCGTATTGTTCCGAATATCATCGGACTTCTGATCGTGTTTCCAGAAACCCTGAAGAACGTCAAGAGTGGATGGATGCGATAAGTCAAGCCGTAGAAGTGTATCACCAGAAACGGCTGACTTTAGCTGTCGACTCCGAGGGACAGCAAGACGAGAAGGGGGAGAGCGAAGTGAATCAGGCACCCGTCTGGACCCCAGATTCACGAGTGTCGAAATGTCAGATATGCAAAATTCGATTCACCACTCTTCGGCGGCGGCACCATTGTCGTAACTGTGGTAAGTTCGCCGAATTCCTCGACGTTTTTTCCAAGAATTGGGTGTGGAGGTAGTTTCATTCGCGCGGAGTTTTTCCCGAATACTTTCAAACCAGAACCGCCGATCTTTCTGGCCGCAGGTATCGTTGTGTGCGGAAAGTGCTCTCTGCGTGAGGCACGGCTGCCGTACCATGGGGGCGCCTATGAACGTGTTTGCGACACCTGTGCCCGGAAGCTCCGTGAGTGTCGACTTGGCAGCTGAGGCTCACCCTAACCTTTCGGTATTTCCTCGGTCCCCGGATCGGAATCCGCTCGCAGCTCCAGATTCGTTTGCTTACCGATGGCTTCGATTTTCCAGCGAGAGAGAGATTGAAGTCGACCGCTGGGCTGCCCGAAATCACGCCCGGATCTCCCGAAGGCAACAGAGGAAAGATTCTCTTCGTAAGTATCGCTCCATTGACGTTAGCTCTGCGCCCCCTCCCTCTGGAATCCAGTAAGGAAATTACGTGAATCTGACCGAGAGTGATCTAGGATGGCTCACCAAAACTGGCAGAGCCACGGAATCCAGCAAGTGTCAGCGAATCTGTTGAGAAGAGCGTTTGTTGTAGCTCGTTCCCGACAGCGTTCCGGGACATTAATCGACGGATCCGGTATGAGGGCCCCGCGGAATTGAAATCGTTCCTGCTTTGGTCGTTTCCCGATTTCGTCGAAGCAGCTCGCGGCTCTCTCGGGCGACTCTTCCGGAATCCGCTCGAGGAAAGAACGTGACTCGAAAATAAGGCGTCTAGAAGCAATGTTTTGCGCCCTTGGGAAGCAACGAACTTCCCGGACGTCAATATTGATGGAAATCGTAGGGAAAATACAAGCAAGAGGCGCGGTAGAAGAATAAGTAGCCTCTCCAATCAAATGGCGGCAATCCCCACGAAAATTGCGCCTCGTGATTTTCCTCCCATCGGATTCGGCTGTCTCTCTTGCTGCGAACAACACCTACTCTCCGGCTCGTGGAGTATCCCCGGCACCGTGTCGATTTCACACCAAAAATATACGACTCGATGTTTTTACCTGTTTTCCATTTTGATCCGTCGAGGATTCGACGACTCGGCATCTTCAGAGACGTACGGATCATTTCTAGCATCGGATGATGGGTACGGAAAAACAGGCACAGCTATATCCAAATCGATTGCTTTCCCGAGCAGGAACTGGGGTCTAATGACGACGGATGTACAATGAGCGGATACCTAAAAATGTTCAAGAAAGGCTCTTGGAAACGCTGCTGGTACGTCCTGAAAGAAAGAGTCCTCTACGTCTACAAGGCCAGCGAAGACGTTGATCCGGTGGACACTGTGGTGGTTCTCGGATTTGAAGTTGTCGATATCGATGGCGCTAAAAAGGTAGATATGTATTCACGACGCGATGACATCGGAAGGCAGCGGCAGTGGACGTATCGGGTAATGATGCGGTCATTTCGGAACTTAATTGAATTCCAGAGCGACCAGTCGGACCTCTACTTCAAGCTTCGACATCAGGGATTGGACGACATGGTGCTTTGTGCCGACGACGCCAACACGGCAGCTGAGTGAGTGGGTCCGAATGATTAGGAAATCATGAGTTCGGAATGGAGTTAATGTAGACAGAGATCGATTGACGACAGGGGGCAAGATGACGCTGCTGAATTGGAGCCACGATGTCTCAGATTTGCTTCAAATTTGCAGGTGGAAGGAGAAAATCCGGAGTGCCACTCAGATATGAGATTGCAGAACACGGAGCTCTCCCGTTCAGGAGAATAATTGTACATAGACAATCCAAAATCATCGTTTCGTAGTGTTGCAATATTGGAGAGCGGGGACAACTCGTTGACTTTCCGCATATTTATTGATTGAAGTCGCCAGTCTTAGTTAGAGGTTTCTGGCGTCTGTCGATTATAGTCTTAGTATTTGATTTCTTACTTCCCAAAGATCTTCTGAGACTCTTACTCCTCGCCGATTTTGTAAAAATTGACCCGAATGAGGAAGTCAGTCGGTGATGAGAATGAAATAAGTGGCTATCAAGGTTATCATAGTTCAAGGGGGAATTTGTAAACATCCCGGAACAGGATGTCTCGAACCATGGGGACCTGTCGCTGCCTCTTGTTTAGTTCCAGTGGATGCTACATAGAGACAATCGAAATATGGGTCCGAGTTGTTGGGAGAATCGAGAAGAGTAATAAACCTTGATGTGTTTCGAAGGACCGCCTCTTTAATGGGAACATGAGCTTGATTTGGAAGCGTCACGACCCCGACCACGATAGGTGTTTTGGTCAAACTCCTCCGAGTCCCTTCCGGTTCGCTCGACGTTCACTGATTCGGCGATTTCGAGGCGTCGCTCGTTGACGGTCGCGACTCTCACAACCATAATGGAGCTCGAGTTGCACTCATGAAATGACGGAATCCCAGGGTATCCCCCACCATTGACCCTCGATCATGGTGAATCATGCAGTTGACGGTTCGAGCAGAGCCTTCATATGCCTCGCGTTCCATGACCGTCTGAGAAGGAAGCGTGTCGATCGGACGTGGAATCCATACTTCGGTAGTTTGATTCTCTCCACAGGATAATCCGGGATTGCAAATCGTTGATTCATTCCCCATCCCCGGAATCGGGAAGGCTTCGGGAATGCTTTTCGTGTTCTCCAATTTCTGTGTTTGCGAAAACACGTCACGCTTGAGGGGACAGGCTCTCCCGAAGCTTGAATGCGAGTTGGCAGCGAAACACGAGTTGGACGCGTTTTCGGCGGTATTCACCTAGCGTCAAACGAGCTCAATTCGGTTCTCTCTGGAAAACAGGATCATATACGCTTTGTTCGCCTCTAATGAATATCTTACGTCATGTAATGAACGCTCCATTCAGAGATCCCTGCGATGAAAAAGCATCCGGCGGCGTATGCTCGACTCAAGTTCTGGTTGATGTCTGAACGCCATTCTGTCGCGATCACTGGAACTGCGAGGCAGACATATCATGATTGTATCGCTGGTGGTTTTGCTCATCTCAGGAGAATCTTTTTTCGTGTCTGGCCAGTGCCCCAAGCGAGATATCAAGTGCACTTATCCTGTTCTCAAGGAGTTCGATTCCTCGGGCAAGCAACTGTTGGGTCATGCATCCTGCATCAGGAAGGAATGTTCAAATGTTGTCGAGCACGATAATGGGGAGTCCAAACAGACCGTGTTGACGATTCACAATGAATACCGACGCATCATAGCACTTGGAGAGGACGCGCACTTCAAGAGGCGAGCACGATCGAGTCAAGGAGCCGGGAACATGCTGCAACTCGTTTGGGACGACAACCTAGCCGAAAACGCCATCAAATGGGCTTTTCAACTCTGCATGGATCGAGGTCAGTGACTGCTCGAGCAAGAACAGCCGAGTTCAATTCCTAATGTTCGTGGAGATATTTCTCCGATTTCTGCCACAGCTCCGCCGCCAAGCCTATTTCATGTATGGAATGCGCAATTTTTTCTCAATTGAGTGCTCTCGCTATCGAGCTGTTCGATCTTTCCATGACCAGGAAGACCCACAGGTCGCTTGTGGCGTCACGACATGCTGAAGTGCCGGAGCACCGATCAGTTCGAGAACGTCGGTCAATCGCTATTCTGGGTGCACGACGCTCAAGGTTCAATGAATTGGAAGCATGCTATCGGGTCGTGGTTCAACCAGCGCTTCAACTTGGTCGAGGACCAGCTCCATCAACCGCCGGGGCTGCATACGAACGTTACTGAATTCCTGCAACTCATCTGGGCAGACACGTTTAAGGTACAGTAATGATTGTACCCTCCGAGGATATTCTACCGGACAAGCTAGAAGGAGAATCGATGTGGCGATGTCGGGAAACAGGTATATTTTTCTCGACAGGTCGGATGCGGTTACCTAAAGGCAACTTTTGACAACCCGGTGGATCCCGTGAGTCGTTATGTGCAATCGATATACGTTTGCAACTACGGCCCGCAGGGGAATCGGCCGTGGCAGTACGTGTATAGAGTCGGACGAGCTGCTTCTAACTGTCCGATCGGTTCTGCTCCCAGTAAAGACTACAAGGGACTGTGTAAGGTTTTCGATGAGGATCTGGTCCGGGAAAGTAATGGCAACTACTGATGAGAGGGAGTGAAGAATTGAAGAAGAGGGCTTCTGGGCATTCATAAAGTTGATTGGTCTCCGATTCCACATTTCCGACATTTCGATTGCATTCAATGAATCGGAAACCGACTGACTGGTATACATCAATGCTGTACTCATTCCACGGAGCGCGGAGAAAATCGCGTAATTCTTAGTCGAAACATGATCTATTTCTCTTCTCGGCAGTCCCATCGTCCCATGAGACTTCCTTCATTCGTGACCGTTGGCGCCCACCTGGAGAGCGCTCATGATTCAAGGCGCTCGTATGCACTTCGGAATTCGACCTTAGGACGGAGTTCTGGGCGATGATTTCTTTAAATTTGATACTAGCGCGCGGAGTTCGTAAATCCTAAGCGCGAAAATCGAGAAGTGCATTTATTGGTCAGCGTGAATAGTCGTGAGATCCTTCAGCCATGAGCGCGAGCGATCCGTAAGCGCATCGAATCAATAATTGTACTGCCATGAGTCTTATCACCATAAGGGATTAGCTTGTGGCTCCACAGTGAGGTAGAGGACCCCCGGAAACTTCAGTCGTTCCCTCAGGGGAAAACCTGTGCGCGCTTCTTCGCATGACCGTTTTCCTTCTTGACATTTCGCATTGTTCCTGGTCGAGATGCACCTCCCAACCTCCATCGGAGATGTGCGCGAGGGTACCGTCATATCACAAGAAACCCGCTCGTTGGGGTCTTGAATGGGAATGAGGTCTCAATCCTTATTCGACATTTATTCTGAGCTGAGCGACCATGATGCAGATGGCGGAGAGAGCTTTTGGGAGTATCAGGGAAATCTGCCAGCGCGTAGAGGATACGCGAAAGAATCGTGATTCTTCATCGGCAGCCGGCTCTTCCCGCGGGCCTCCATCGCTTCTATAATTATCGGAGCGAGAGGTGGAAAACCAGATTCCGGTAATCCCTCATGGGATCTCACATGGTATTCGCTTCCCTTCCTGACGCTGCGCCGCCATGGACACGGCAGGATTCCCCTTCCGGATGAAGTGCAGGATCGACTGGTCAAGTCCATTTATGTGAATCTGGAGCAATCCATTCATTATTCGAGCCTCGCGTTCGTATAAGAAACAACACAGAACATCAGCCCGTAAGGCTAGGCGGCTCAGAGACTATGAAAGAGTCGCTCTCCCCCCTCAACTCAGCTTTCAATGGATAGCGTCACATCAGTTGACATGGAGGGCACTCGTCGGATCTAACTTTCCCTCAGATTTGAGAAGTGTTCTGAAATATCTCAAATGGAATCTTCGCTCAAGTCCTCTACTACAGTGCTTCCGGATTTGTTTCCGGCGCGAGACCCCCGCCGGAGTCCTTGACTCTGTCAGAGACCCCTCGCGATATCATTCGAAAAGTACTAGTCGGTGGCTTTGCCAGACAAAAATATTTGCCGCTTCTTCATGGAATTCGCCTCCTCGACATATGAAGGAGTTCCGACCCTCGATGGCTTTCCGAAATGCTCGCACGCTATGTTGACTTTTTTCCCATAGTATCACAGCATTGCACCTATTTCCCCCGACCTTTCCGGACCCCGAGATCGGGGGGGGGGGGGTCTTGAGACCCCCTCTCGGAAACCCCTGATCCACTTCCTTGGAATTTCGTCTAGTCTCTATCGAGCCGATGGGACACTCGGAAGCGCAAAAGTAGAAGAACAGCTTAGATTTACAGTACTTCACGTTTTATTTCTAGAATATAAAATATATCTTCCGTGGCGTACACGATCACGGATCACATGAGAACACTCTGAAGGATCAGCTAAACAGCTGTCGGCGTCGGACACAATCTCAAAAACAAATCAGCCACATTTCCATGAATAGATCCTATGCTTTATTCGAGCTGCGGTTTCTTCGAGTCCTGGAGTCTTGAAGAGCGCCTACATGACGTGTCAAAAAGAGAAACTGTAATTGTACAAATTCATACAAGATTTATGTACATAGTTATTTCACCAATCGGTTGCTTGTGATGATGCTGACGGAATTCTGTGACTAATGCCCGGTGCGGAACAGACTCTCCCTGTCTGAACAGGCGGTAGTATGAACAAGGGAATACACTCGCTGCTGCTAAGCTCAAATCTCCAACCCCATCATATCGTACCGTAAACCCCACCATCTTCATGGTTCCCTCTCAGACGCCAATGAGCATCGGGAAAGCCGGTCGGGAGTTTCGAGGGACAATGTTTGATAGAGAAAACATCTTCTCATCTTCTCGAAGAATCAGCTAGTCCAACCCTGAGCTCGACGATTGAGCGCTACGAGAGAAGAGAAAATTCACCACCCCTACATGATCGTGTGTATTTCATCTCACACCGCTCGATGAGCCTCTTCTCCCTGCGAATTTGAGAATTCTGTCGACAACATTCAATCTATATATCCATATGTTCAGCGGACAATTTGTCGAGAGTCGCTTTCGTGCTGCGACCCTTACGAGCTCCTTTCGCCGAGCAATACTCGCGTACAATTTCAGGAAGCTCCCATGTTTAGCGCAGGAACTAAGCACAACACGACTACGGAGATTTTGAAGTCACGATTCAGGTGTTAGAGGAGTCGCTGAGTGAGATGCATAGAGACTTGTCGTTCGAGGTTGAAGAGATCACGGCAATGACCAGAGCGGCGACGGATTGGCGATTCGGTCTTCCGATGGCATACCGCATTTTGTCATCATCCACATCGTGATGATGTTGATGATGGGGGACCAAGAGCCCGAAGCGCCTCTTCATCGCACGCCATCGTTTCTTTACTGCCTATCTAGTTGTATGGATTTTCCACAGCGAAACACTTAGCGGGCTCCTTCCGTTCGCCGCTTGGCAAGTTCGATGGCATACGTTGTGTCAAGAACGTGTGGACCCACAGTAAACTTGGGGTGTTGTCTGCAGAAATCGGCAGCGTCTGTCGAGTTTCGGAAAAACACAAATGCGGCATGCTTCTCTCGAATGACCCGGATCCGCTGGAATTCGGACACGGACAGAGATTTTAGCTTCAGTCCAGGCCTCCCCGGTCAGTGCTCGATCGGAATCCCGCGAGCCATTCGATTCACGATCGGTCAATCTTCTTCTACTCACCTCAATAACATAATCCTCGAAAGCGATTTTCAGAGTGCGCTCGTCCAAATGATCATCTATTCTGTGCAGAATCACCTGCCGACTTTGTTTCTGCTCCTTCGTTTCCTGGTCCTGTGACTGTAAGCCTGGTTGTTGCTGGTCTTTGCCAAGTTTTTCACGAGCGGCTTGACGTCGGCGTTCCTCCTTCATCTTCAGGACTTTCTCACGTTCCTTCTTCTGCTGCATCACTTGGAGTTCGTACTCGTCTGCGTGATTATCAAATCAATTACGAATAGGGTAGAAAATAACCCAATCGGGATTTCTCGTCAGTTCTGCGGATGGTTCCCGGAGACGGAACCTAGAACGGATCATGGGGCGGAAGGACGAACCTGGCTCTTTTTTTGGTTTTGTGCTGGAGTCCTCCCGCGATGGTCGTCGCTCCCTGTGGTGATCTCTAAGATAATCTCGATCCCTCGACTCCCTCTCGTATTCCCTTTCGTACTCCCTCGAATGATCCCTGTGATCTCTCCGAGATTTGTAGTCACGTTCCCTCGATCGGGACCGCTCGCGGTTCCGAGGAGGACTCCTATGTCGCGGAGGACTTCGCCAAGAAGTCGGGGGAGATCCGTAACCGCCTTGATGGCTCTGAAATGGGACGATCGTTCATTGCTCGCCACGCTCCCGTCAGCGGGCCGATTTCCCGAGTTTTCGAGCGAGTTAGATGTCAAATAAAACTTTCTCCAACTCACCCCTATCACGGGCGGGGGCACGCTGGGATCGAACATAGGGGGGAAGCCTCCCATGTTTGGCGGAGGTGGTCGGAAATTTTTGTTGATATATATTTTTTGTCCCTTATGCTGCGCCATTACCATCGGCGGGGGCTGATGTCTGACCATCGGGGGCGGCGGCACCGACATCATGGGAGGAGGAGGTTGAATATTGGGAGGGGGTGGGAAAGACGGGGGCATGCTATGGGCAGGGGGAGGGGGCATTGGATAGCCTGGGGGGAGGACGTTCAAAGTTGGAGGGGGGAGCAGGGGTGGACAAGGATTTTGGGGGGGATACGGCATTCTGTGCGGAGGAGGCATACCGTTCGGGGGGGGAAGGAAATTCGGCGGCGGTATGTTAGGGAAGTTCGGGGGTACCGGAGGCGGCGGAACTGGTCCAGGATGTTGGGGATAGCCATGCGGGGCATGTTGCAGCAAAGGTCTTGTGTGTCTGGGTCGAGGCGGTCCGTCTCTCATGATCCGAGGCCCATACGGTCGGGGCCGATCGTGTCGAAAACGTCCAAGAGGTCCTCCAGGACCACCCATCCCTCGGCCTCTTCCGCTCCTCAAGCCCATCGATGAATGATGCATGCCAATCGTAGGGATTTCGACGTTCTCCAGTGACTCGGGGATCCCATTGCGATTCTTGCCACCCCGCGTGGAAATCACGCGTTCCTGTTGGAAACGACTCCTTCCGGATTTCTGTTCCTCCTCCTCATCATCGTCGTCTCTGTCCCGCTCCCGAATCCTATCTTGGTTCACAACGACCTGGAGCGAGATATCCATTGTCATCCTTTGAGCGCTGAGTTTACTGAACTTCACAGCGAGTATCTCGAGAAGCAGCGAATACCCCATGCGAGGTCGCAAAGGGCACACACTTCGAGCATGAGACTCACCTGTACGCCGCCGCCGTCATCATCTGATTCGGAACAGGCCTCTTCGGTTAAAGTACTCGCTTCGGGCTCAGCTACCTGTTCTGGCTCAACTTCGGGTGTTTTCGTTTTTCTCGCTCCTGGACTTCCGGAGCTTTGGCGGCCGGCTCGGACACGTCTCCTTGAGGAGGCACGGACGGCTCATCGGATCCCAGGAGATCGTCTTCACCTCCGAGCAATAACGTGTCATCGTCGAAGTCTTCCTGTATCATCACAAATTCGCTCGTGAGCCTCAATTCAGACCGGGAATGAACCCACGGCCGGGTCTCACAGATCGAGCCCATGGGAGACACAATGAATTCGGCAGGAAGACTTCTGTCCCAACTCACCTTGAGTAACAGTCCGTCGTCTTCTGCCAGAAGCTCCTCTTCGTGGATTGAGCTGAATGAGAAACGGGTAAGATAATCATTCCGGGGACTCGCATCGACAGCTCGGGTTAGAAACTTCAGGAGATTAAGGATGCCAGAAGGAGACGCTATGTTTCCTTCCGGAAGAAATCTTGAGGGTCAAGCACTCCGTGAAATCTGCCGCCCGTCACTAACGAACCTCCGAGACACGACAAGTTAGGGGGGAGATAAGCAAGGTTCGAAGGTCAGAGGATCGAGTCACTTTCAGAGCAATGAAACACGCTACGGCTGAAGCTTATTGCACGTGGGAAAACTTCGCGGTGAGATTCCGAATATGCATCGGATCATCCCCAATCCGTCGCGCTCCTTCTCGAAGGCCGATTGACACCTTTGATTCCAACTTACCTCATTTCGATAGTTGTTGCCACCGGCGAGGGGTGAGACTCTCGTCACTACAAAGCTGTAGGCTCGAGGCTCAAATCTGGAAAACAGGAAGTCTCAACACCGGAGCTGCCACCAGATTCAGGAATCCACCGAACTCGCGATAACGGGTAGAGCTCCAGAATCGCACAAGATACTCAACCGATTAGATCGATCATTAGATCAGCTGTTAAACGGCAGACTTTGCATCCTATTTGCGTGTCTCTTCCTCCACGGATTTATTTCTGAAAGTCGCGGCGAAACAAACCGTCTCGGAATCGAATCGGCAGCAAGCGAAGAGTCAACAACGCATGGTGTTTCTCAGGGAGCTCTTTAGCAGAAGAGGTCCGCGCGCGAAAATTCGAAATTTCGCGCCGAAGACAAACGTGCCGCCGTCGCGGCTAGAGAGGTCGCGGGGGAATCGCCCACCACCAGATATCCGGCTTTCATTCGCGACTCACGAATGGAATTCATCGCTGCGGTCATTATTCCGCTCTCTGCTCCACTATTCCCTTCCGGTTCCGGTTCAGATGAGTTCGAGACGGGGAGCCCAAATCCTGAGCGTCTCGAGCTTCCCGGATACAAGGAGATTTCCCGATTGGTTCGTTCCCGTATCTCGAGATTGCGCGCTCGGTCTCGGAAAAAGTTCTCGAGCTGAGAGAAAACATGAATTTATTCGGTTACTACGCTAGAGATTCACGAGGATCCGAATGGAGGAGCGCTGTCTGTCAGTTTTCTGATCTACTGGCTTGATGGCCCATTGTACGATTCACATGTCGCGTCGAGGCCGTCACAACATTTCAGTTCTGAATGTGCAGATCTTGAAGAAGCATGCCACTGTAAAGAGGAGAGCGACACCTATCAACGACGATGATCGAGCGTAGACTCATTGAAGGCGCAGGATTCCTGATTGGACGACGCGCGACGCGTGGGATTGAACCGCAGCGACTTACTTTTGCCGATACCTTCCCTATTGCTGCCATCGGCGCTCTTGATTCCCATTCCGGGCTTCTGATCCGTAATCCCGGTCCTCCGGACCGCACGAATACCTTCGTCAACGAAAAACTTGGCCGATGGACCGATTCCGCGATAGACGAATACGGGTGCCTGGAAATATTCTGCCTCGCTTAGCCTACTCGCTCGGTTGAAAAGGATATCTCCACTGACGACCCAGAGTTTAGGATGCGGAAACACAAACAAGCAGGTCTCCCTCAAGAGCTGCTCCACCGACCGATCGTCTGGACAAGAACAACTCACCCGCTTCACTTCTCTCAGAAAGTCGCTTAGTGGACCGGATCGTTCCTGGGAGTCGTCGAACTCGCGCAATACTCCGAATTCGTCCAGAGGGGCCGCCGACCCCATGGCCAAGAGGACCGCGAACGCGAGGCAAACGACTCGATGCGACCACATATCGATACTTTGTGATGCCGGCTCCCATTCTCGGGCTCTTTTCATACTACCTCCTGAAATGACCCTCCGCTCCTGAATAGTGGCGTTTCTCCTGTAATCCTCCACACCGGTAATGCGCAGCCCGGAATAGGTCGACGGAGACGAAACAAATCAACTCACCGACTGCGGATCTCGCGTATGATGCTGAGCTAAGTTGATTAGATCAGTAATCTTCCATGAGAGTTGTGTTTTTAGGAGAAAAGCCTGCTGATGCCCGGGGATGAGCTAATTTGACTTCGGTTGACCCTTCCCCTTCGTATGAGGATAGTCCTAAGCCGCGGTCGCTGGTTCGAGGTATGGCTTTCGGAACGTGGGTCCTGTCATTGGTCTGTATCCTATTAAGCCAGTGATGCTAGGAAAACGCGTCTGGTGGCTTTCTCGTGGTGCTACAAGTGGTTCTTAGAGCTCTGCTCATCGCCGGAGTTGTCCGGTTCGATCCCGAGCGCTTTCTGTTCGGAACTTCACGTTCCTGAAAGCTTGACTGCAGTCGAGGCTTAGACGCGCCGCCATGGGTGAATCCTTTGTGATTTGCGCAGGGTGCAAGCTCTACATCGATCGATATCTGCTAGGCTAAGCGAAAGTTCTGAAGTTCCTTCTCCCGAAGTTCTGAAGATGCTCCTCCCGGAATTCCGAGGTTCCTCGCCCCAAAGCGACCGGAATCGGCGGATTCTCCGCGACACGCGCAGGGAGGAAGCTTGATACCGATACTCGATTTTACACGCGGAGTTCTAAAGGTCATGTACCCGAAGAAAGCCAAGAGCTCGGGTCCGCGGCGGAATCGCAAACCAGCCCGAAAACCACCGAGATACAGAATCGTTCCCTCGGCTATCCCGTTTTGGACGGGCGGCCATCTGACAATCGGTGCATTCGGGACTGCGGATGAGGGCAAATGGTTTTGGGTCTCAACACGAAGACTCCCGGGACCGGATCCCTTGAACCTGAAAAGCATGGATTCAATAAAAGCCTGATCTCTCACGAGCCCAGGGTTGGATTCGCCTCAGGAGCGCCTCATCAGGGAAGAGGAAACCGAAATGACGGCAGGTAAATATTCATCTCCTTCTGGAAGCGTGGGACCCCTAGTGGAGACGGGAATACACCTTCTGCGGACGGAAAACACTTAAATTCGTCGAAACTGGTTTGCCGCGAGTCGTTGACGGAAGGGCGGCTTGACGATCCCCGGAGCGGGACACAATCCGTTATTCGCACACATGTCAGCGGGCGCTGATCTCTCAGGGCGATATTCTGGCGCCAATAGCTCATCTCTGACACTCTCACCGAAGGTGTCGGTTGAATGGAGGCCTTTCGCGGTGAAGAGCTTAACGGTGAAGCGGGGAAATATCATGAACAGGTTCAGGTCATGAGTTTTAACCAGCGTCGCCGATCCAGCTCGAAAACGCAAATGAGGATGTCATATTTCCTCCCCGTGAGGCATGATGGCTTCAATCTGCGAGAACCGGACGCTCATCCGATCCGCGACGAGCGTCGGAACTCGGAACACAGGCATGGCTCACTTTCATTTCTGCTCTTTTGGTCTCTATAATTAACATTCACGTGTTCGATCCAATGCGTCTGATTGAGAATTCAAGCAGAGGAGATTAACGGTTCCGATAGTACCGGACGGACTCGCTGGAGGTCAGGGAACTCGAAAACTGATCCGCAATACCGTTTCGGCTACGTCCAGTGACGGGCTTTCGAAACCGGTTCTGGCCATTGACCCGGCTCAAATGGGTCACTCTGCCGCAATGGTCAGAAGAAAGCAGAAATTTGGACTGAGAAAAAGAAAGTTCAGGAACGAAGCAATACACATACACTCGGTTCTCTCAAAATCACTTTTTTTTGGAACAGCTAACTGGATAAGACCCGACGCTGAAAGGGATCACTGAGTCTATAATCAGGAAAAGTGTTACAGAGGGCAGATAGCTTGAATTAGTTTGCGGGACAAAATTACGGCCCGTCGTCGAGAGAAATAAAAAAGGTCAAATCTCCACCCTTCTCGCATCCTGCACCGATGCCTGAATTCGGAGACAGACCACAGCTTCGGAGGAAGCGGCAGCACTCTGGAGGAGAAGAATCTTGGAATCCTGGAGGAGAAGAATTCAGGGAATCTCCCGCTTGCGACCATGTCCTCGGGAAAATTATAGCAATCGAGAAGCTTCGAGCGTCTTGCTCGAATGGTTGATCTATGGCTTTCTTTCGCGCGAGCCGCGCCCGATTATGAAACGAGTCAATGGAAAAAATCAAATGACTCCCACCGATGCGCCAGGATCCTCTCAAGCGCGGCTGCTATGGGATACGTCGCACACATCGTTTAGTATCGTCTCAACCCTCGACTTCCTCTCCGTCGCCCTCCTTCCCTATTCATAGAGGGAATTCCGATCGGTACGAATCTCCGAATTTCTCAGAAATGTTCAGGGCAGATGTCCCGCCTCGTTTCCCAAAGCTTCGTCGACAGTGGCGTCGGCGTCAGTCTTATCTCCTGTGGTTCCGGTACCTCCACGATCTTTCCTGAGCTACCACATGATAAGTGGGTCATCCCCGAAGATTTCTGGTCGTAGAATAGACGTCTCGTCTACGCTTCATCGGTTTCAGAACGCATCCATTCATCATCGAGTTGAGTACTTCCGAGCTCTCTGGCCGTGCTTCCGTCCTCGGAAGCAATGTGAACCTTGGCTGTGTGCTCCAGCCCGAAAAAAACTTCTGGCCGTGCAAACGTATGCTTCTAGGCAATGGGGCTCCAGGCAACCCCGAGAGAATTGGCGGACGAGATTTCGCATCCGAGCTGACTTCGAAAACGCTCCGCTCGAGTTCGAATCTTGATCATTCTTCCCCAGTCCGGAACATCGAGCGTATTTCGGCAGCTGCACGCTCGACGCACGATCGCCGGTGACGATCGGAAGTTTGTGAAATGCGAATTTCCCCGGCGAAATTTCTCTCCCGAAGTTTTCCGCAGGTCAACGACTGGGGACGCTCAATAATTATAATCAACATGGTGAAAAGGAATGCCTTGCGGCTGTCTGCGGCTTTTGCCGCATCTGCCGGGTGTCGACCAAGACGAGAGAGAGGCCTGCGACTGTAACCCACATTCGGAGACCTGTTCTTTCTCAGAAGTTCCGACGGATCCGGACACCAGAAGCGGCTCGTACTTCATTTTTCCCGTTTCATCATACGAGGTAAGCAGCACAAGATATGGCTTTAAGGTCCGAATGAGCGAGACGGACTTCCCATTTCCAAGTCTCGTGAGTTCGTCGGATTTTCGTGCCGCGGGAGCTCAGATTTTTCGCTTGAGAGCGAACGATGCACATGCAAATGTAAGGGAAGTTCTGACGGTAGCTTGATGGTCCACAGTATGAAGAATCTTGCGGTCCTCGCGGCCGTATTTGTGGCTGCCGCCATCCCAGCGGTGCAAGCGCAATCATCACGACCCCAGCTGGGTTACTTCACATTCCTCCGGTAAGTAATTTCCGGAGCAGTTTTTGTGACCGAAAATCAAAAGCCAGCTTTGCTCCTGCCGGGGAAGTCACACTCGAGTCGGTGGTGTCCGAGGCAATACGGGGCTGATTATCGGGGAACTATTCGAGTATTCTACCTCCTTGGACCGCTTGTATGTACAAGTTGGGAAAGAACTGTCTCAAACGCGGAATTACGGAACTAAAACTTCCCTACATCCAGGTACCGGAACCAGGAGTGCGAAGGCCGATACGGTCAGAATGGAACTTGTGTGACCGAGAGCGATTGTCAGTCCCGTCAGGGACTTGACGTCGGTCGATGCGCCGAGGGCTACGGAGTGTGTTGCCGAGTCTCTTTCACGTGCAAGATGGTGAACAGGAAGAACGAGACCGAGTTCGTGAACCCCGGCTATCCTAATGGAGAAACTGGAACTTCAACCTGCGACGTCACCCTCGAGAAAACTTCGGACATCTGTCAGATCCGTCTGGACTTCATAGAGTTCTCATTAGCTCAACCCGACGAGAAAGGTCTCTGCTCTCGTGACTCGTTCATGGTCAGGAACACCGTTGGGGAGAAATTCCCCATTCTCTGTGGTGAAAACAGTGGTCAGCACATCTACATCGATATGGGACGTCAGTCTGGGAACCCAGTGGTACTGTCAGTCGTGTCGACAGGAGCTCATTCGCACGAGCGTAAGTGGAGGATTAAAGTGTCCTACATCCCTTGCGGATCGCTTGATATCGTTCCACCCGGATGTCTGCAGAACTTCCGAGCGCCGAGCGCCATCGTCCGTTCGTTCAATTACGGATCTCCACTGACCGGCAATGTGCGCTACCTCTCCAACCTCCGATATTCGGTCTGTCTTCGTGTTGAAGAAAACTTCTGCTCTATTAAATGGGAGACCGAAACCGAGGACTCATACAGCTTCGGACGGTAAGTGGAGATGGGCTGTCTTACTTCTCTCGCGTACGGGGTCACACTGCGGGAGAGCAGGATATCGGGTAGGCAATGCCATCCAGGGATTCTGAATTGACGTCTATTTCTAAACTTCAGTCCATACGAGAGCGGTACCTCGGGAGCAAATTGCGAAGATGACTTCATCACCATCGATCAAGGTTCCACCTATGGAATGGGTCCCGGAGAGGACAGATTCTGTGGCAGTCGTCTCCATGAGAGAAACGTTCTCATCTGTAAGTATATGACCTCGTCCCAGAATTGCTCATTTTCCAGTATCGGGGACGGGACTCATACTGAGAGACGATTTTTCCTCAAATTTCAGCTCACAGTAAACCGTTCCTGCTACGAGTCACATCCAATAGCGATGCGGCTGGAAACTCGATTGAGTCTCAAACTGGCTTCTCCCTGAGATACACTCAGCTCCCTTGTGTGGATTAAGGGGGATGAGATATTCTAGGACATCTCAAGTAGATGGTGAGCATGCAACGATGACGTCCATTCTCGGCACGCACTGCCCCATCCCCTCGAGACTCACTCTCGATCTTCCCCTCTTCCAGAGGACGCACATTTTCGAGATGGAGCAAGAAGCAAGGCCCTTCCTTCTTCCGGAGAGTGAGCAAGGGACTGATGGCTGAAACTTCAGATGTGAACATCAGGCTCCTGATCGAAACTTAATCTCACGGCGTAAATTATTTAAGGAATGCGAACAGATATCTATTCCGATTAATTCCTGGAGAATAAAAAATGGAATCTCATATGGATCGGCTCTTGCTTCGCGAATAGAGGACAAGCAAGGATCGCGTCAGAATATTCAGGAGACACTGATTATATTATGCAAGATTTCTCTCGAGAGAGAGAATGGTGCTCAAAGAACTAGCGAGAGCGAATCCGCACCTCGAGGTGACGAGCCCGAAGTCGTCCTACGCTACCACAATACACAATCGTCGTAGTGATATCACTGGGTTTCGATTCGCTTGGCTTCGGGTGTGTGACAATCACGGCGAGAAGAGTGAGTTGACACTGAGCATCAAATGCACGGGAGCAGTTCGTACCCATATCTTGGGCAGTTTCCGCTCTCTCTTCTTTGAGAAGAAGCGATCAAAATCTCGATCGGAGCCTCGGAATCGACGTTTGACACGTCATTCAGCACACCTATTCCCCAAGCTCGATAATGAACTTCTCACTTCTCGGCCTATCCCAAGCCGAGCCGTTGCCGAAAATACGGAACTTTACGGAAAGCTCCATGACAGATTCACTTTACTCGCCCTTGGAATCTCCGCCGCCTGAGCCAATCAGAGCGAGGACGAGACATCGGCTGACAGGAGATATTCCGGGCTCAAGATGAACGGGCTGAATCTGAGAAGAGCGTGCGAGCTGAGACAGACTCGGGAGCTCATTCCAGCGAGCTACAGAGTGAAGAATTCTGTATCATCTCTTGAGGGACGTCGATCAATCACGCTGCAAGCCTTTCCAGGCAACCTCATCGTCTGCAAAATCGCGATCCCGACCATAGAGACGCGGAGGATCCCAGAGTCCTGAATACAGTTGGGAAATCTATCTCTCGGTCACGCGGACGATCCCATGATATCCGCGAGAACATACTGGCGTCGGCCGCAAGCTTCCATTAGGGGAAACCATATCGGACGCAGAGACGAAAATTCGCTCCCCGTCGATACTTGAAATTCTCGCTCGTAGAAGAAATCCACCGGCATTCGAAAGATACGAGCGAGAGAAAGACCTGCGGTTCTAACCTACATTAGACGCCTCATCCTCTCTCAAAAGCACCACTGGATCGGACGGTCGCGTATACTTCAGTCCACCCAGCCATCGTACGAGGTAAGAGCACCCGTCTACGAAAATTTTCCACACCGCGCTGAAATACCGAAAAGCGCAGATCCAAGCCCGCAGCAATATCCTGCACAGGAGCTGATTATTGTGGATAGCGTATACTGAGGTGATACAGTGCGATAATCGAAGACTCTTCGTTAGGCACTATGAAGGCGCTCCAGGTAGCGATCGCCACTGTGGCTCTAGTAGCAATAACCATTCCTGCCGTGCAAGGACAATCCTCTCGACCCCAATTGGGATACTTCACGTTTTTGAGGTAAGTGATTGACAAAGCTCCGGATATTAACTTGTAACTTCCCGGGTTTTGAAGATTTTTTTTCTAACCGCGACATTTGATGATTCATTGGCTCCCATCTCGAAAGTTTTCCTCTAGAAAAAGATCCCACTCATGCTCATTAGCTCGAGCGGGAGCGAATCTTCCTCAATCGAGATTGTTCCGCGAAAGAATTCAGACGCTGATCCGCAGAAAAAAAATCGACCCCATGTCTAAACGACGTACCGATGGGGGCTTCGGTAACCGGTTTCGGTCGTTGGCTCCAATCAAGTGGGTCATACTGGTGTCTGAAGAGAATGGAATTCTTCAAAAGCGCCGCCCGGAGAAAACTCGTGGGACCCTACGATCGGGAAGCTACAGGCAGGAGTCGGAACTTCACGGCTCGATTCCGATTTCAGGTATCGAAACCAGGAATGCGAGGGCCGCTACGGACAGAACGGAACTTGTGTCACCGAGAGCGATTGTCAGTCCCGTCAGGGTATCGACATCGGACGATGCGCTGAGGGTTATGGTGTGTGCTGCCGCGTCTCGTTCACTTGCAAAATGGTGAACAGGAAGAACGAGACCGAGTTCGTGAACCCCGGCTATCCTAACGGAGAAACTGGCACTTCGACCTGTGACGTCACTCTCGAGAAGACTCCGGACATTTGCCAAATCCGTTTGGACTTCCTGGAATTCTCGCTGGCTCAGCCCGACGAGAAGGGACTTTGTTCCCGAGACGCCTTCATGGTCCGGAACACCGTCGGGGAGAAGTTCCCCATCCTCTGCGGTGAAAACAGCGGCCAGCACATTTACATAGATACGGGACGCCAATCTGGGAACCCAATCGTACTGTCGGTCGTGTCGACCGGAGCGCACTCGTTCGAGCGCAAGTGGAGGATCAAAGTTTCTTACATTCCTTGCGGATCGCTCGATATTGTTCCGCCGGGTTGCCTGCAGAACTTCCGTTCGGCTTCTGCCATCGTTCGGTCATTCAACTACGGAGCTCCTCTCAGCACCAATGTTCGTTACCTTTCTAATCTCCGCTACGCGGTCTGTCTCCGCGTCGAAGAGAACTTCTGCTCGATAAAATGGGAAACCGAAAATGAGGACTCGTTCAGCTTCGGACGGTGAGCGCGTGGTCGAACGCTACCCTATTTTCTCGATGAGATAAAGAATTGGAGATACAGTGAATAGAGCGGATAACTGAATATCTGCTTGTCCGTATGAGCGTAGAGATCCGCTGATCCCTTCCAACGGGTCCGTCAAAGTACGGCTCTTTGATTTTCTGTTATTTTTTTCGCAGTCCCTACGACAGCGCCACTTCAGGAGCGAATTGCGAGGACGATTTCGTCAATATCGATCAGGGATCGACCTACGGAATGGGTCCAGGAGAAGATCGATTCTGCGGTGCAAGGCTGCACGAAAGAAACGTTCTTATCTGTGAGTTGAAATCGCGAATCGCTCCATCGATCTAGGAGATCTCAATCTGAGACGAGGTCGCTAACGGTGAACTTCTCCCACAGCGCACAGCAAGCCTTTCCTGCTCCGAGTGACGTCGAATTCCGATGCGGCCGGCAACTCTATGGAGTCCCAGACTGGGTTCTCTTTGCGGTACACGCAATTGCCTTGTGTCGATTGACAAGGGGAGCTCGGTGTTGAACACACTGAAATCGACGGTAAGCTACCCACGCGAAACCCCCATCCCTTCTTGAAGCCCATCGAGCGATGAAATACGAAATTGTATTTCGCTAATTTGCGTCTCTGTTCCAGAGGATGTAAACTTCTAGGTGCCGCTAGTGATCGGCCGACGATGATGGCGCCGATACAGGGACGGGTGCTACAGCCCCGAGAGTACGGTGCATGTTCAGCGTTGAGAGGAGATATGGAGTTCTCAAGGAATTTCAGTCAGATCCGAAAATTCACCAGTCCATAGGTGCGGATGGCTATTTATTGATTGATTAATTTATTTATTTATTCGATTCTTACTCCCGGAGCGATGCCGAGTCGAGTAGGAGAGTCTGAGTACTGATATAGAAGCGGATCGAGAATTTTCCGAATAAAACCGACGAAGCTCAGAATGAAGTTGTTTTCGATTCCATGAGGAAGAATGTTCGTCACGACGTCATCGGAATTATCACCCGCGAGGGATGCATAAAAATGTTATCAGCTTCAGTCCGAGCCGACTTGAGGACTCTCAAAGCAGGACGCTAATCGAAATATGCCACATTCTATGAATCCAGCCGCTGACGGCAGAGCATACCTTGCGAAATTCTCCACGGCGCGGCGGTTCTCGCAAATTGGCAGAGACTTGGTACCGGCTATTCCTCCTCGAGAATGAGCCATCAAATCTCCGCTCTGATTGAATACTTAGGTTTTATGATGGAGTCCCAGGTCGACCTCCATCCAGCCCTTGGTAATGCGGAAACATCCGTTCCATGAACGCCGGCGTAACTCTCAAGAATTGAATTCCAGCGATCGGAGTTTGTCGAACTCCTGTTTTGGCAACGAGACTCATTTCATGAGCTTTCTCTCCGAGTCATCCAGATGAGACCTCGTGAAGCTCATTTCTGTCCTTGTTCCTTTCGGGAGCACGAAACCGCGGAAATTCTGAGACGGAGCAGCCGAAGCGCCGTCTCTGATAGGTAGAGAGACGTCATGAAGTCTCGCCGGTCGGCGTCGCCGAATCAAGCTGCATGTCATGTAGGATCGCCCGGAGAGGATGGACAGATCCTAGCCGTGCCGTCCTTGGCCGGAACGGATCAGATCCCTTCTGAAGCGAAATGAATTCGATGATTGCTGTTTGTCCGAGTGAATCCACCTTGAGAACTGCATGATGCCGTATCGGTAGCTGAAAAATGAACAATGCCATAAGTACCTACGGAAAGCCGCAAAATTCGGAAAGACTGACCAAGTACATACCGAAAATAATTAGCCGATCGTCGGCTTCTGTTGAAAGCATCCCCAGCAGACCGCTCGTTTCCCGTATCAGATGACATGAAGAGCCTTCGCACACTGTTCGTGTTATGTGCGGGCTTGTCCCTGGGCGAATGTCTTGGGATTCGCGCAAATTCCCCTCCGGCGCTCACCGTACTCAGGACTCCTCCCTACGCGGCTGCTATCATCGCGCTCACCGGGATCTCTGCTTCCGCGATACATGAGGGTCATGATTGATTGTTATCCTCTGCCGTGAGGCTATTTCCCCCGCAAGGCTGGAGAGCGATTCCGCAATGGCCAACGCGCGATTCCCAACGTCAACACTTCCCCAATTGAATTCGATGCTCCCTGGAAGCCAACGGAGTCAAGATTTTGACTACCTGTGCCGCACGGGACCTGCTAGCTTTGGCCGGCACGAGGAGAAGACAAATAGCATGCTGAATCAAAGAGCCGATACCACCCTCGCAGACGGATACCTACTTAATCGCTAAATAAGAGTGCTCACGGGATAGACGCAGCTGATCGTTGCAGGTCCGGATGCGGCAGCCTGCCGCGTCCTATGGTAATTCCTCGGAAACTGAGAATATTATTCTCTGTAAACGTCACATGGTGTCCACTATCTGGGTGCGGACCACGGAGAGTATCCTCGGACCACCGAATCGCGACTTGCGGATTGGGGCTGAGGGAGGTGGGGCGAAAAACCCGAAAGTTGCGTCATCTTGCGTTTGGATAACTCTTTTTCCCGAGAGAGAGAGCCTCAGGAACGTCCTGGTGCCGATCAAGAGAAAGTTTTTGCCCGACTAGGGAACGGAATCATGCCGGGAGCGGATCTTCGTCGGTGAGGAAGCACATTTTTTCTCCGCTCAAGGCAATGAAAGTAGAAAGACCCCATAAATGAGCATCGGAAGTTTTACCGCCGTGCGGTCCCTTGAATACGTCATGTTAGACCTGGGAATCTGCGATCGCCTGAGTCAATGTTCGGGATCGACGAGACACCTGTCAAGATTGACATGGTCTCCTTCCGCCGGGACTCGAGTTGGAGCGTCGAAAGATCGTTCATGGAAGGAGTTCATGCTTTCTGCATGTTGAGGTCACTTTATTACTCTACTTTATCAGGTTTCATTCAGACTGTTGAAGCAAAAGTCTGGGATAGCAGTATAGCAGGAGCCACGTGCGAATCCCGAATTTCAGTGGAACGATTGAATGAGGAAAGTATGGGGGAAAAAGTGTCACCCGTAATCTCTTACCCTCTATTAGAAAAAAACAGACGTTTAATGTTCATTACGAGTTTCCAAATCATGTCACCGAAGCATGGATCGCTTTCGTGGAATACGAACATCTTCATTGGCCATAGCGCGGTCAAAAGGCAATCCGAGGGAGTTTAGCGATGGGTCAATGAGCATTTATTCTCGATGCTCACAAGCGGTGATGTAATGATCCGCACAGTTTTTGAAAGCTTCGTATTCGCGACGAACTGTCCCGTAATTATTATGCATAATAATTGCGGCTTCCCTATGATTCTCGACTCCAAACCAGTAGAAGAAGAATGGAATTGATTGTCTCGAGCTTTCCAAAGAGCACTCGACCGAAGTCGACGATCGTATTTGGAGCTTTCGACGCGCGATCCTCTCAAGTGATGAAAGTTGCTCCGAACACCCACCGCGAAGCTTAGCATGGGAGTTATTCAAGCTAGACCTTCTTCTTTTGGGCTTCTCGTGTGCCAATGAGTTCCGATGAGCTGAGACCCAGATGTCCGCGCCGATCCTAGACCCTGGAACTGTATGACCGAAGACTCTGCTGTCATCGTCACCGCTTGGCGTCGTTCGTCGGAATCGGACATGCAGCATCTTTGAATTGGGATGGACGAATTTGAGCCATTATCCGCCCTTGATCATCGACCGGAATAGATCGCTTCCAAATCAGTTTTTCTCTGAAGCTTAACGGATTTGATGATTACTGTTTGTTCTACTGAAGTAACCTTGAAAACTGCATGGTGCCATATCGGTAGCCGAAAAATGAAAAATGTCATCCGTACATAAAACCCACAAAAATCGGAAAGAGTGACCGGGCATCGATAAAAAGCCGAGCGTTGGCGTTTGTAGAAAGCATTCCCAGTCAATAGCCCGTGCTTCGGAATTAAAGACATGGAGAGAATTTACACCGCAGTGTTCGTCTCTCTGGTAACGTTGGCCTCTGCTGGACATTTCGGACCTCGCGTGTCTTATTCTCCAGTGCGCACTGTCTTCAGGACTATCCCCGTCGCGGCGGCTCCTGTCGCGCTTCCTGTAGCCTCCGCTCCCGTTGTACATCAAGTCGGCGTGGCCAAACTTGCCCGCTTGAATTACGCCCCGCAAGCAGTGGTTAACGTGAACTATGTCCGTCAACCAGTTCTGTCGTACGTGACCCGACCGGTGAAATCGGTCTCCTATGTGAATCGTCCCTTCGTGTCCTTCAGCTCCCATCCCATCTTGAGTGCGGCTCCCGTCGCCGCGCATGGTGCTCCTGTTGCTCTTCACGGTCCTCCCGTTGCCGTTCATGGCGCTCCCGTCGCACTGCATGGCCCTCCTGTCGCGGCTCACGGGCCCCCCGTCGCGTTGCACGGTCCCCCGGTCGCGCTGCACGGTCCCCCGGTCGCGTTGCACGGTCCTCCTGTCGCGTTGCACGCTGCTCCAGTTCCAGTGAAGGTCGCTCATGCGCCGCTTCCGGTGGGCTTTTCGCAAGCTCCGGTTCCGTACGCTGTCTCTCACGCGCCGATCCCGCTTGGCTTCGCTCCTGCCCCGGTGCCTGTTAGGGTTTCGCGCGTGTCTACGGTGGGAGTTTCAGCTACTCCACTCTCGGTGAGGATCTCGAGTGCACCAGCCTCATTCGGATTCGCTTCGATCTCACACGCTTTGAGCGCTTGGAGGAAGGCTTGAAGTACCATGCTGTGATTCCATGAAGGGCCATCGATCATGTATCAATGGAGATTTTCGAAAAGTTGACGACGGAATCGATTCCATGACGCCTGGAATCGACCGTGTGAATAAAGGTTCACCGAACGGTAATTCCGTACGGTTCCTCACGTCAGTTAGACTTCTGTATGATTATCTCGAGCGACGGTTCGACAACCCGTCAACTCGTTCCTTCTTGCGCTGATTTTCATTTGGACTCCCAGCAACTAAATGATCGCATGAATTTCAGCAATCCTCACAGGTGATTTTGTAAGTGAGTCAGTCAGCCGTCTAATGTTCTGACATTCATACATCTATCATCGAGAATTTCTTGAAAGACGGGTGGAAAATTTCATATTTAGAGTTCGACTTCCGAAAATTGAAGCTTTCACTATGCCGAATGCATGTAAGAAGTGTCTAACCTGCAAGGAACTCACAAACTGTATCGGATTTCTCATGGAACCATTCACGCCAGCCATCTCATTGTGATATTTGACAGTTGTATCCTCATCGCGCGTTTCTATCACTGACAAAAGGTCGACCGACTGCTCGACCGGCCGGCCGGCCGGCTGCCCGCCCGCACGCCCGATCGTTCATTCTACCGTTCGCCCGTTCGCTCACTCGCTCGTCCAAGGGTGTTGTGCACTACGACCTGGCTTTGAAAAAATGCGAGTCGTTCATCGGAGCGAGTTTTTCATCAACTAGTTCGCTCGACGGCCTGACTACCATGATGACGGCGGCGGCGCGCGGGAGCGACCTTACCGGCGAGGCTTAATAAATCTATGAAATGCTTCACTATGTTTATTTTGAATAAAGATTTTCGGCGGTGCTCTATGCTCGGAGTCAGTCGGCCATTCGTTTCAGGAGGGAAAGTGACGAACGAAGGAAAGCCCAAAGAAGAAACCGTCCAGAAAACGCTCGCTGAGAAAATGATTTCCGTTGGATGTTGTCAGAGTCGATGGAGTCACGGTCATTGAAAAATCGCTTGCCAAAAACTCGACCTT